ATTTATATTCCTTTGATGTTTAGGTGTACTACTTCTATGGCGATTATTAGAATTATTATAATGGTTATGATTCCTGTGTGGTGATTGGGAATAATTTCTATAACGATTATTATAACTTGAATGTCGATTTTGTGAATTATTCCGTGATCTGTTTTGGTAATTATTGTTTGGTCTGTTATAGTTCGATCTATTATATGAGTTATTCCTTGATCGATTGTTCGGGTAATTCTGGTTTCGGTTGTTTGAATAACTTCTATTTCGATTATTGGAGTAGTTTCTATTCCTATTGTATGATGAATTTCGTGATTGATTGTTTGGATAGTAATTATTTCTTGATTGGGAATTAGATCTAGAAACAAATTGTGTTGTATTTGAATTTGATCTGGAGTAGTTATTTCGACTATTTGGTCTATTGTAGTGATTTTGTGATGAATTTTGCGTATTTCTTCGTTCTGGTGATCTTCCTCTATAACTTGAGTTATATGGTGATTGATTTCTTGTATAATTTGTTTTGTTCGGGAGTGGTTTTCCTGAACTGTTGTTGCTGTACACAGTTTTGTTCGGTAGATTTTGATCTTTTTTCATGTATTGATAGAATGATTTATTTGGTTCTTTATATTTTTGAGGTTTATTTTGATTGTCTTGCTGTTTTTGTCTACATTCAGAAATACTATGTCCGTATCGTCGGCAATAATTACACCATTTTTTGAAAGATGGTTTGCCTTTAAAGTTTGGGTGTTTTTCGTAAATATTGAGTATTTCAGTGATTTTTTCAACGAGGTCTGTATCTGATTCCTGTATATTGTTGATACTTGTGGTATTTGTTTCGATTCGGTTAACATATTGTAATTTCAGATTTTCTGTTTCTTCGAGTTTCATTGTGATTTCTGCTTGTTCTAGTTTGTCTACTAGTTTTCGAAAATCTAAATCGGGTTCTCGAATTGAAGAAGGATGGGATGCTCTCTTTTTTATTGCTATTTTTCTTAATTGCGGTGTTAAGGTCATCATTAAGATTTCTGTCATCTTTGTGTTTTTATAGTCGTGTGTATTTAATGAATATGCTTTTCGAACTAGTGTTTCGATGCGTACTGCTAATTGCTTGATGGTTTCATTTGGTAATCTGCGAATTTCATTACATAAAACTCTTTGTTGTTGTTTGTTTCTTTCGGAGTCAAACATTTTTGAAAATTCTTGTGTAAACCTTTTCCAAATTGATTTTATTTCTATAGGCAATACTGAAAACCATTTCTGGGCTGCGCCGTCTAAAGTTGTTTGTATCAACGCTGTGCGTCGATGTATCCAGTTTTGATGTAGTGGCGTATTAATTGGTTCAGGTCCTATATTTAAAATCAAATTTGCTGTTACTGCATTTAAATAGTCTTCTACAGAATATTCAGGGTCTGTTCCTGTGAATACCATTAAAGGTTTATTTGATGTTATTGATGATCCACCCATAAGGTATGGATTCATTGTCATTTGTAATGATTCTGCTGCATTTGGCATTTGAGAAAAATTTGAAAGTTGATTTCTTGTTATTTCGTGTTGTTGAAGATAATATGGGAGTGGTATTTCATTTTGCATTTGTGTCGGTTGATACGAGTGTGTGATCATTGGGTTTTGTTGCTGAATTGGTTGAAAATATTGTGTATTAATTGGGTTTTGTTGCTGAATTGGTTGTTGATTTTGTGTATCTATCGGTAGTGGAGAAAAATTCTATGATTTGTATGTGGTTTCTGTACTCCTTGTCCACGATATTCTTGATTATATGGTGCAAATATATCTGGTTGTAAAAAGTCATCATCTGAGGATAAGTAATCCATTTGATAAGATGTTTGTTTTTTATTTTTATTTTGTTGAAAAAATGGATAGTTTTCACTACGATCCTGTGAAGGATGTAAATTTGTTTGAAAATTTACCGAATTAGTTTGTGCCATTGGGTTATCCCAGTTTCGAGATCTTGTATAATTATTAAAATTTTTTCGTGGGGGATAATTTGTTTTTGATGGATGTGTGTAATTATAATTATGTTCTGCAAAATTGTTTCTAGTGAACGTTTTACGTGTTTTTGACGGTATTGTCATGGGTCTGTATGTTTGATAATCCATGTGTGAATATTTTGGGGCAACCGAAGGTTTAACGGTTGATTGTAAGGTTACTTGTGTTTGTGAAGGGTTTGTATTTCTTGGTGTTGTTAAATTTGGACGTATTGGTGAAATACTTTGTTGTGTAGTTGTTGTGTGTACGATTTCTTCATTTATGAAGTGTGATGGTGTCTGGATATCTTGTTGAGTGAGATTTCTAGTTCCATTGAGGTTTTCATTGTGTATGACTGTGGAGTTTAAACTATTATTTTGCATATCAGGTAAAAATGTATTATAGTTTAATGGTGTTGCATCAATGGTTAATGGTATTACTCTTACATAATCTCTTACATAAGATATCGTACTTATTGCTTGACTTGAGATTGATTGTGGGAAGTTTATGAATGCGGGATGAGACCATTCGGGGTCCCAAACATAGTCTGATTGTTCTGTGATGGCAGTATCATCGTTTGAGTTTTGGGGTCTAAAATTTTTTCTTTCTTGTGAAATTAAATCAATATTATGTGTGAAATAATCTATTATGAACCATGCCAAAATTTTTTGTAAGTCGTGTTTTGTATGTTGTGAAACTTCATCTTTCGTGAAATTTTCTTTAATTATATTTAGAAAACTAGAGAGTAGTGTGATTTCATGTCGTACTCTTATATGTTTAGATGTTTCTGTCGGTGAAACATTTGGGATTGGGATTTCGTTTTCTAATATCGAGATATAACTATATATTATTGCAAAAACTTCATTGGTGAATATGGAGTTTGCTCTTTGTGAGTTATGATATTGTATGCTTTTTATATATTCTGAGAATACTTTTGAGAATTCTAAATCAAGGTCGTCTGTTTGAATTACATATTTGCTGTGATTCTGGTTTGGTGAGCTGAATTCTATGGAGTAGATTCCGTATTGTTGTGTTAAGTTACATATATCTTTCAAATAGTGATCGATAATTTGTCTTTTGACATCTGGGAACTCTGTTTTACATGGACTGATTCCGGGTTCAAACAAATTTAAGAGTAAATTTTTGCAAAATATATGCTGTCCTCTATCAGTGGTTGCATCTACGATAAAGGGGAAGATATCATCATCATCTGGACTTTCTTCACCTGGGGTGTGTGTTGAGCTCATTTTTTCGTTTGATGACTGTTAATATGTAATTATCAATGTGTCTAATTGGTTGATTCCAATTGTATAAATGTACTGGTTTGTGTTTATATTGCTTTTTTATTCTTCTTTTTCCTCTTTTTGATGCATTTGAAGTTGTTTCTGAGTCGGAAAAATATAATTGATCGTGAATGGGGCAATTTTTATCTATAGATTCTTTTAATTTATAAAGTTCGTCTAAACTGCTAGTTTCTGATTCTGAAAATGCGTTGCGGTTTTTGGAAAATCTTTTTCGTGTAATTTGTCTTTGTTTGGTTATGATTTTTCTCTTTAGTGTTTGTCGTTTTGTTCTGATATATCCAACTGTTTGTGTGTGGTGTGATTACAAGATCGTATTTTTTGTTATCTATTTCACAATTGTGTAAAACGATTGTTTGTTTATTTCCTAGGTTTTTAAATGACATAAGGTTTAGGATGACGGATGCAAAAGGTTGTTAAATGATTTCTATTTTCTTAGACTGTTAGTCCTTACGATTTTTTGGTTAGCCTAACCTGGGTCTATTTGTTCAGGGTTGGGGAGAAAAGTATATCGATTCCGAAGAATGATTTTATACTTTCTCGTGGCTAGTATAAGCTAAGGTGTTAACTTACTTAATCTTACTTAAGGGTAGTGATTGTGTTCAGGGTTGGAGAATAGTAAATCGATCCACAAGGTTCAGGTATAATTAGAACGCGAGTAGTTCGTTAGATACTATTTTAAACTTACTAAGTCTAAGATTTATCCTGGGTCTGGTAAGAGGGGGGATCAGGTGAAGGATGAATAACCGAAGTTCTTCACTGTTTATCCTAATTTGAATGATTAGTTTTGTTCAAAAATTTCTGTTAGTCCTGGGTTTTTAGAAAGGGTTGGATAGTGAATCGACGTTTGAGGTCGTTAGACACTAGCTAAGTGGGTGGGGGAGAACAAAATTGTTCTTTTTGATCCAAGGAGAGGCCTTGATGATCAAGTTTCAAATTTAATTAAATAGAAAATGATTTAAGATCCAAGGATGAGCCTTGATGATCTGATTTTAAATTTAAGTGAATTTAAGTTTGAAATGATTTAAATTTGTGTAGAGAAAAGATTTAGTGTTTTTATGATATTAGTGAGCTTATGAATGCTGTTATGTTTAGGTGATGAAGCTGGAACAACAGGATGATTTATAATTACTAACCATTTATTGTCATGCTACTAATTTTTATTTTGATTTTTCAATAAATATTTTTCAAACATGTTTTGTATATTACTGCAGAATTTAGGAAAACGATCTGAGATCTCCTTATCAATCGTTATTGTATATTAATAATTTGGTTTAGCGCCTGAAATGATTTTGAAGATTGACTTCAAGATTTTATGTTTGCAAATGAAAATCTAAATTCATTGCTAGTAGTATTCTAAATACAAAAGTTTGTGTTGGCTTTTGCCGAACTATCATATAACTATATGGTAAGTTTCTACTTTGTCGTATGTCGTCTCTGGTTCGAGGTCTTCTCGCAATTCCGGGTAGTTCTCTTATCGTTCGGAATATTGGTTTTGATCTATTGAGTCGTAGAGACATTTCGATTAAATTATCGTCGTGTAACATTTTAAAAATGTTTTGTCTAAATTCTAATCTATTTTTGGTTAATTCTAAGCCAATCATAAAATGTAGTTTAGATCAGGTTCCACTTTCACAGCTGAAAGTACTGACAAGAGAGCTGATCCCTTTTATTTGGTTCACTACTGTTTTGGCCATGGTTTTGACTTTTTAAAATGTATCGGACTTAAATGCAAAAATATTTGAATTGAGCGTTGAATATTTACAAGGGAAAAGATACAAATGTGACAATTTTTCATTTTGAAATTTTAATTTGTGAAATGGATGGTTTACATGATATGCAGGGGGCGGATCTCGAATTGTCTCAAAAGGGGGATTCTACAGGACTTTTTAGGATGACCAAATTGATTTTCCGAGCGCTCACACAACACTATTAGGACCCTATTTTATTTTAAGCAGGCGAATTTTTAGAAAAACAGGTCAAAAATGCCGTTTTTGGGCACCTTTTGGAAAATTTTGATGAAAAAATTGAGTTTTTCAGCGCGCGCTCCCCTTCAAATTTATTATATATTGGAGCCAAAAATTTCAGGGTTTGTCGGCCGAAAATGAATGTCATGATATAATACCAAAGGGGGGACCCTCTGGTTGATGAGGGGGTCGAATTCCTGAGGGATGGCGTCCGCCACTCCCATAAATCTACCCCTGATGATATGAATATGACTTAGCGCTATATGTTTTTTGATATGTGATTCAGGTTAGAGCTGCTTGAAAAGCTGTTAGTAGTTGAGGATAGTTTTTTCTGACAAAATACAGGGTTTGTTTTTGTATTTTTCAGCCTTCGAAGTTGATCCTTTTCTCAACGTTTGCCACTCCGGAACCCGATTCCTCCTCGGTCGAAGGCGCGTAAAGGACACTTGGTTCTTTCCCGGGGGTTTTGAAGCCTCGAATGGCTAGCTGGGCCTCGTTTATTTCAAACACAGGGTTGCTGAAGTTGGTTCGGCCAGATTCCGAAGGCGCAGAGAGTCCATTTCCGGCATACAGTACGGGTCCTTCCACGGCACCCTCTTCCACGACTCCTGACTGCAATGCAATCGAACATTTTAACAAGACATTATTTAAAACAAATTAAAGTTTGCTTAAATTCAGAGATAAAAACTGAAAATTTCAAAAATCAGAATAACTTCAACTTCTCTTTTAGATTTCTAACAAAATTAAGAGCTAGAATGTTTTCAAACGATTTTCAAGGAATAATACCATTCAAGGAATAATACCATTCAAGGATGGACTGCATGATTAACTTTTCAAAAAATTATTTCGATTCCGATCAATAAAGATTCCATCTCAAAATAAATATACAACACACAGTTGGGAAAGCGTGAATGACTTGATGATATAAACTCACGGAACAAAGACAGTCTTCTGAATTTCCGAAAATTTTCTTCCCAGTTGCAACTAACCCCAAATCTAAATCCTAATTTCCACTTTTGAAACTATAAATCAAGGGTCCCTTTCTGTGCCATTTCCCATTATGTTTTTGACAGCGCGTTGGTTGCTATTTAAAAACTTTTTCATGAAAACAGATTTAAGAGAGAAGTGATAGATAGATGTATTGGCGTGAACACTTACGAAGTCTCTTCCGAGCGTTACTCGGTCGTTGTCGTGGGTGTCAAACCCAGGGTTGGCTCTGCCACCCACGTGGAAACTCACAGGCTCATTTGGTGGCCTATTCATCAAGGAAACAGCCGTTCTCCTGAAAACAAAAATTTTCGCATGAAAATAAAACCCACGTTCCTAACAAATTTCATATGACAAAGATTTTTTCATAGTTGCTAACAAACCTCCAAAACACCATTTTTTAAATGTCAACACAGAACTTGAAAATACAGATATGATATTTTGAAGCAAGAAAAAACAATTACTCCGGCCTGGCCAACAGATATGCACAGGAATTTTTTGACAGGTAGATTATAAGTTCTTTGAAAATTTTAGGTTTTTTACACCAACTATTTTGAGCTTCGAATTTAGCCGGAAACAATTTTCGAGCATCTTTTCTCACGTTTTGACAAAAAAGTTACTAATTCGGCCTAAGAATTACACCTCAACGAAATTTAAAACAATTCCATTGTTGCAGAAGCGTCCAGGAACGCAAGGAAATCGAAACTTCAAACAAGACTGCTCGTATCAGGGTGAAGCCCTGAATGTTCCGACTGCCTTTTAAAATCTATGAAGCAGTAATAACATAAAAGAATAAATGCCAAAAAACGAATTGAAAAAAAAATGAGATTTTTTGCGAAAAACATCCCACCTTACGCCAAATAAAGAACAAAGCGATAGTCTTTGCTCCTAGTGACAAATCGATGGCAAATACGCTTCCTTCAACCAATTTGAAACGATTTCTAAGACTGATTAAAACTCCGCTTACGCGCTAATAGCGCGAAATAAATCGCGCATTAATTATCCCAAATTGGCCAAAAATGACAATCTTTAAACCCCCTCAACTTTACAAAAAAAATAATCACAGGCAATATTTTTTTAAAAGTTAAGCTCAAGACAACAATACCTTTTGAATGATATTTAAAAAATGGCTAGTTAAACAGTCGAAATTTGTCTGAAGAAAACGAAAGTCGGAACAAAAAGTGGTGAAGTTTGTACCAACGTTCATTTGTACCAAAATGAGAAATCGGTCCCATATGTACCAAATTTATTCAAATCGTTTTCTGATTGGTCGAATTGTGAGCCAACAAATTATTACATTAATTTTCTACTGTTCAAACAGAAGAAAACTAAGCAGCAAAATAGTGACCGCCGGAGTCGCGCCAACATGTTGTGAGCTTGCCAACAGACTGTAGGACTCTATACGAAAATTAGATCCGGTTATTGCCGAGAAGCGGCGACGCGCGCGTAGCGCACCCACCGGCGACCTTAAACCAAGAGCATAAAATAGTCGGCTTAGTAGTCTTTGGCCAATTGAATATTTTTGGTACTAACGCGATTGATTTTTTATTTTGGTACAAATGGGACTGATTTATCCTTTCGGTACTTGTGAATACAGTACAAAACAGTCCCATGCAAAACAGTTCAATACAAAAGAGTCCGGAAAAATATGAAAATGAACGAAAAAACAGTCAATACAAAACAGTCCGATTAACAGTCCCAATTAATAATTGTTTTAACAAGGCGACAGGCCGAGAATTGTCCTTTGTTCAACAAGCATAATGAACAAAATAGTGACCGCCGCAGTCGCGCCAACGTGTTGCGAGCTTACCAACAGAGGGTAGGACTTAATACGAAATTTAGAGCCGGTTATCGCCGCGATCTTAAGCCGGACTGTTTTGCATTGGACTGTTTTGTTCCTCCATTACATGATTTTTGGGACTACTTTGTATTCGACTGTTTTGTATATGCACCAAATACCCACCCAAAAAGTAAACTAACTGTAACATTTCGAGGCCAAACTGCGCTTTTTTGTGAATTGTAAGCGGATACCGCAACAAGACGCTCTCTTTGATCTTCTTTCGTTCTTTCGAAATTTTCGAGTTTCAAAACAAATCATGGCCGACACTTTTGCATTAAGGTTACTCAATTTAGAAAACTGTATCAATAGGAAAATTTATCATTCCGCTAAGTAATTATATAATCAAAGACCAATTTTGAAACTAAAAGTTGTTTACAGTTTTGTGGGCCATTTTCGATACAGTCATAGGAGAGCGTAAATTGACGTTCTTTTGGCAAACGAATTTGATTGGAACTTATCAATGATTGGTTACCAAACACGCAGACAAAATGCAATTACTTTTTCTCGATGTCTAAAGATAAGACAGTACTTTCATTATAGGTATATGAAGCAGCCGCAGTATAAACCAGTTACAGTACTGACTAGCTACAAACACGTATCTGTTGCATAATAGTAACGGGACAATTATAAGACATTTACGGAAGTCTGGCAAGTTTCATTCAAGTGACGTAACTTTCGGCTAGTTTATATACTTGGTCTGAATAAAAAGTAGTATCATTCAAGTGAACTACCTTTCCGCTGAATTATACTTCAGCTGTTTGATTCACACTTTTTCTAGCCCAGAAAACAATCAAAAGCATACTAGCGGTTATTAATTAAAGTGAAAATTAATATTTAGAAGGCAAAATATTTCGTTCCGACTTTCGAACAAAATAACAAAATATATATGCTCGAGGTGTTTTTTTTTTCAAACCAAAATCTATTTTAAAAAATTTATATTTTTGAAATACGTTAATGAACTGAGAAGACGTTAATGAAATGGGTTATGAAATTCCTAATTGACGATAAATAAAACGCGTCCAGACAATTCGGCCAAAGACAATTCAGCCGATTTGAAATTCAGACAATTCAGCCAAAAGTTTGCAGACAATTCAGCCAGAGACAATTCAGCCAATAATAGTGACCACCGCAGTCGCGCCAACGTGTTGCGAGCTTAACTACAGAGGGTAGGACTCTCAAATTATTCATTAACGCAATGCATAGGCGGCTAATTATTCCAAATCAGAACATCAATCAACAATAAAACTTAAGTACGCTAATTGGTCCTTTTAATGCTCTCGTAGACAAAAGTATTTGAGCTCGATAAGAGGACCAATAGTTACCAAATATTATTGTTCCGACATTCAAAGAAAACTAGTGTAACAAGCAAAGAAGGTGTGTTTTTTTATTCTGCTAATTTTTGGCGATCGAAATAATTGTTTTATTGAAGATATCGACTCCCTGAAAGCAAATTTGAAAAATATTTTACCTCCGATCATTTTTTGCAAAGATATGGGAGTTTGAAAGAGCTTTGGACTAATTTATACGCTCTTTGAAGATTTAATCCGCAATCCTGAAAGCCCAATGCAAAATATTGTTCCAAAATTTGTAACGAAAGTAACGGAATATTTGTGCTCGGGATGGGTTTTTTTCTTCAGACAAATTTCGACTTTTTAACTAGCCATTTTTGACGGCATTTTTTATATCATTGAAAAAGTATTGTTGTCCTGAGCTTAAGTTTGAAAAAATATTTCACTTGTGATCATTTTTCGTTAAGTTACTGGGGTTTAAAGATTGTCATTTTGGCCAATTCGGGACAATGAACGCGCGAAATATTTCGCGCTATTAACACGTACGCGGAGACTTAATCCGTCGTAGAAACCGTTCCAAATTGGTTGAAAGAAGCTAATTTGCCAGAATTGATTTGTTACAAGGAGCGAAATCTATTCTTTTGTACTTTATATGGCGTGTGGGGGATAACTTTCATAAAAATCTCAATTTAAAAAACAAAAAAAAATTATTTTATTTTATTTCATTTAATTTGTTTCATGTTATTACTGCTCAATAGACCTGAAAAGGCAGTCGGAACATTCAGGGCTTTGCCCTGATACGAGCAGTCTGGTTGACTATTCTCTCTCCCAACCCCCTATTTCGATTTTCAGAAATTCAAATTTCAATAGCTTAAAACAATTTTCAGAAAAAATATATATATATTTAAAGTTTGTTACGTGGGTATTATATAAATAGTGAGTAATACAAATACGAAGGCGCGAAAATGAAAACCCATTTAAATGTTGACAATTTTGCATATTTTATACAGAAATGGTTGTCAAAAATAATACATGCATAGGGGGGGGGGGGGATAGTTAACAAGGCCTAAAGGGGGGGGGGGGGGGGGGGGGGAATAGTTAACAAGATCCATAATTATGTTCTTCATCTGCAACTTACTTGATTTGATGTCTGTAGATTATGCCGATGAACACGACAACACTGATCACGACCAGAATCAACACCAACATCACTCCTCCGAGCACTAAAAACAAACATTGCATTATTATGTTTACACGCTAATAAATAGTATTCTGATATATTCGAGGGGAAAATATGAATCTTTCCCAAATAGAAGCTCCCCATTTACAGAAAAAAAAATGATCAAAAAGGAAAACCCTTTCCGATCTCGCACTCTTAATGGTCCATCATTTTGGGATAAGAGATTCTCAAAAAAGATGCAAAATTGATGGGCACTGACTTGAACACTTTAGAATTGAAGTTCTATCTTACCACTGGGGGTGGTCGGAACAGGATCTAACTGGATGCACTAACTCGCATTTCTTAACAAGTTCAATCTCAATCAAATTTGGAACTTCATTTAATTTTTTCACTTTTTAAATTCTAAAAGCTAGATCTGCAGCAAACTCGACAATTGAACAAGTAAAACTAACCTCCCGCGCCTCCTCGTCCACCCTTTTGCTCGCAGTTGATTCCCTTATATCCATCGAAGCACCGGCACTCCAGGCTAGATAGATCCTTTTCTCCGTTGCCACTGCAAGGTGCATACATGAACTCTGTCCTTCCTGGAAAATAGTAGAAAAACAACTGATATGGTCAACTTGGAATTGTTGTCCAAGGCATCCCAATTTTAAAATAGTTCAGGATTTTGAATTTTGTCATTCTAAACTTTTGAAGTTTTGGTCCGTATGATATGCCTTTGTTGCATTCACGAAAATAACTGTCGCCCAATTGCTACCCGCTATGCTGGCTTGCTGAGCAGGGTCGCTTTTTTAAATGATGCGAGTTGTCGCTTGCGACGATTTGTCGCCTCACATTTTCACTACATGGTAGTTATGAACAAAAATGAACGATAATCGCAGCGAGAATGGAGGGTACGGTAAAGGAGGGTCCTGTAATTTTAATTGGAAAAAAATATATTTTTGGTCTCAGCGAAGTTAATTTTAAAGAATGACTAGAGGCGCTTTTTTAAACTGAAATGGTCAAATATCCAAAACTAATGGGTTTCAGAAGTTTCGTATTGTTAATGGCAGAGAGCATGCAACTGAACTTTCCATATTAACAAAAACAATTAGCCTGCAAAATCACTCAATTCATAAATGAAATTCTTGTTTCGTTTTTAGTTCAGTTCTATATAATTATTAGCCCGTAGGTTAGATCAATTGCTGCTATCAAACGCTTAACCCACCAGCACACATAATGTTAAAATATCATACTCCTTTTTCTTAGTTTAATTCTTAGTTTTATGAAAACTCCTGAAATATCATAAAAATCGTCAAATTGGAAAGCTTAAAAAATTTGGGCCATAAAATTAGGATGAGCGTCAGATCTGCAACTGTTGGCATTAAGCCAACTGCTCCCTATTAACTGGTGAAAAATTTCAAACGTTGAATATTTTTTTTAGTTTAAAACATTTGAAAGTTTTTCAAAAATTATAAAAACGTCATATCTAGGAATGTAAACGGCGTTGAGCAGCCAAATTTTGAGTTTTATACAATTAGTTATTTATAAGATTTCTGAAAATTTCTAAAAAAAAAAGGTAAATCTCGGAAACTTAAAGCATTTGAAGAGTCACATTCGGAGATCATATTTGCAAAAGAGTACTTTGACATTGCTTAACTACAGTGTTAGAAATTCCAAACTTTGGGAAGTATTTTCAATCTGAGTTTTTTCGAAAACTTTTGAAAAAATTATTTAAAATTCCATATCTTGGAAACTGAAAGCATTTGATTAGTCAAATTTAGACGTTAGTTTGCAAATCCCTGAGAGTACCCTGACAGCATCCGACTATTGTCTTGCTAATTTCATACTTGGTGAAATAAACGCTCAGCTCAAGGAAAAGCGGAAACAAATTCTTAGCCATAGCAAAACACAATATAGCATATAGCTTAACCGTGAAAAATACGTTTAATATACAAAAATATTGCATGGAAAAACCTTAAGCATGGCGGGATAAGGAATGCCGCATTTAAATATAAAACAATTAGATATATAATAGATTATATCATTATAAAAAAAATCTGGGCTGTAATTTGCGAGTTGTGCTCGTGCGAGCAAGTCATAATACTAATAAAGCTCAACAAGACGGCTCGTATCAGGGCGAAGCCTTGAATAATCCGACTGCCTTTTAAGGTTTATGGAGCAGTAATAACATTTAAAAATTCAATGAAATAAAACAAAAATCAAAAAAAGTTTTTTCTAAAATTTGAAATATGTTATGAAAATCATCCCCCCACACGCCATACAAAGTACAAAAGGATAGATTTCGCTCCTTGTAACAAACCAATTATGGCACATAAGCTTCTTTTAACCAATTTGGAACGATTTCTAAGACGGATTAACTCTCCGCTTACGCGTTAATAGCGCGAAATATATCGCGCGTTAATTGTCCCAAATTGGCCAAAATGGCAATCTTTAAACCCTCGTAACTTTACGAAAAATGATCACAGGTAAAATATTTTTTCAAATTTAAGCTCAGGACAACAATACCTTTTGAATATTATAAGAAAATTCCGTCAAAAATGGCTAGTTAAAAAGTCGAAATTTGTCTGAAGAAAAAAAAACCCACCCCGAGCCCAAATATTCCGTTACTTTCGTATCGAAAGTCGGAACAATTACTTAACGTCTCAGTAAGATTTAAAAGTGACTAACCGATATTACACTTGGTCTGCTGTGTATTGCTCACGAAATCTGATCCGTCAGGACATACACACATGAACTCTTTCGTTTGTGGGTTAATGTTTCCCTTCGGAAGACACAGGTGCGAACAGGCACTGTCACTGCAGTGGTCAAGCATAGCTGGAAACAAGAAATGAGTGAAAGACGCAAGGAAAGTTTTGAACATTTTCAATTCCGCGGCGAAATCGAAAAACTCAAATCCAATTTTGAATTTAAAATTCAAATTCCAAGTTTTGCACAACTTGCCCTTTCTACGATTCTGTATGTAAAGGAATGATTTTTGAATGTAAAGGAATGATTCTTGCCCTTTCTTGGATAATTCTGTAGTAAAGGAAAGATTTTGAATTGATTGTGATGTCAAAAATAAAACTGTCAAATTTTAGCCTTGAGTGTGAACAAAGTTCGAAAAAAAAACTAAAAAAATCAGACGACCTTAATGAAAAAAACTTGTTGACTTCAGTACCCGAACCTTAAAGCCTTAAAATGGACCCATTATATTCTCTGTAACTTTACAGGGATTTCAATTTAGAACTAGGTCCAGCATAATTAAAGTTGGGGTAAATAACGCGCGATATACTTCGCCAATAATCATTTTAAAAAATCCATAAAAAATTGAGGCATAGGCAACTTAGTCTTTTTAATACGCTATCATACGCAAAATATATACAAAAAGCGCGTGTTGAATGTAAAAGCATAAATTTACTAAACGAAAATGGAAAAAATATATATTTGTTTTCTTCATCTACACGCTTCATGAAGATTTTTCATTTTTTTCCACGTTATACAATAATTTTTAATATCAAAAACAATTTTTATTTTAAAGGACGCTAAAAGGCAGTTGGAACATTGAGGGAGGCGCATTCTTTGACTCGTTTTGCCCATGTTTCTCTGAGTAGCCCATATATTGGAATCTTATGCGCTGATTTTGAGGTCAAAAACAGCAATTTTTGGTATACAATTAATTTAAATACCTGGGTCAGGCCGTGCGTATTGTTGGTACAGACTCAAAGGTGACCATAATTCAATGTCCTCTTTGATGACTGTGAAGGTATCTTTGCCTTCTTCGTTGAGATCAAACTTGCTGTTCTTGAAAAGCCCGAATCGACCAGTTGATTCATTCTGTCCAGTGAAGTAAATTTCGTGTTCAAATACCACAAGTGAAAATGGTTTGATGCTGCGCTCTTCTAAAACATTCAACGCTTGAAATTAAAAAAAGTGTCAAAACTCGCCGCTTTTAAAGTGTTTAAATTGAAAAATAATGCCCTGGTGAAATGACCCCGCACTTTGCTTTTGTTAAATATGCAATTAATAATGACAAAGAGTCTAAAACTATATGAGTTGATTGCGGACAAATAATATTTTATCAGATTTCGTCGTTTCGTCAAATGGGCGTTTTCACCTGTCCTAATACCAGTACCTAATTTTGTCTACTTAGGTAGTTCCACCTACTGTAGTGTTGATATTGTGGATTTAAACCTGATGACTAACCAAAAGAGGCGACTATTTTTCTATCTGAGCCGTCAGGCAAAATGCATCCAATGGCATGCAGTAAAAAGTCAGTCCAATACACCCTGCCGTCCTTAAAATAGTCCACTGCAACACCTCGGATTTCTCCATGCTCGTTACTGACAAGAGTAGACACAGTCATTCCGTGTCCGTCAATTCGAATAATCTCCATTTTTTGACTGCCCGTATTGTGTTGTGCCACATAGACAAATCCTCTGAGTGGGTCAACCGTGATGCTTCTTGGCAGCTTGAAAATGAAACCTCGCAGATCCAGGGTCTTCGGGTAGCGACCATCAACAGTCGAGACCACTAGATTGTAAATCGGGTTGTTCGAGTCAAATTCGTCCGTCTTTTCAAACCAGTACATCAACTCGTGCACTTCGTCAATGGCCATAGCCTTAGTGGGTTCTCGGCCAGGGTAGGGAATGACTTTTTCTTCGCATGATTCAGGAGTAACAATGCTACTGAATTCAGGGATGATACAGCGATAGATTTGGTGCGCTGAGTCATCGAGATAGTGTAGGGTGTGGTTGGGTGAGAAGTAGTCAATTGCTACCGGGTTGCTAGTCAGCTGTAAAAAGAGGAGCAGCGATAATTTAAACATCATTAGACACAGAGGCGATACAAATCAAGAATGCAAGCTGGAGAAAATAAAATGAGACGAAAACCATTAATTTGAAAAAAAAATTTAAAAAAAAATATTCGAAAAAAAAGATAAAAAGTGCATCTGCAATAATTTATAATTTCTTAAGTTTGTCTCGACTGATCTTTAATTTCAGGAAACCACAGATTTTTTTCTTCCTTCCCCTTACCCCTCCCCTCTATCATCCTCTCCTCCCCCTCCCACCTGCGAAATCTTTCCAGTGAAATTTTGTTCACGTTATCCGAATGGTACGAAAATTGACATGCGAACTATTTAGCCATGACAAACATATTTGATATTGATAATGAACCTTGTAAAACCCCTCGTTACACCATAAAATTGATGCTTATGCGAGGTGGGGGGAAAGGAAAAAGAGCCAACCACAGGATTAAATAAGCATTCAGTATCATTTACCGAGCCGCGAAATTTTTAAAAAATATTAAGTTTTAAAAATCAAAGACGCCCCACCCTTTTCACAACCACCCCTCCCCCTGAAACAAATTAAAAAACAAACACATAATTTTCTCTTCGAACTTAATATGACTTAAATGATATAAAATCAGCTGAGACTATTTAAGCGAAAGAAAAATATAAAGTTAAACAAAGGAAATTACATAAAATCAGAGATGGTGAAGTTACAAACTACAGAACAACTTGAATTCTAGTAAGAATACCCTTGCAGAAGAAACGCTTTGAAACATGCAGACAAAAAAAAACAGATAAAAGATGCACGACAACTCAAGTTTTCTCCGAAAAAAGTTTTATTTCATTCTTATCGAAAAACGCAAGCTTTGGCCGCGATTCAAATTCAAGACTGTAAGATCCAAAAACACGCGTTTTACCTCTAGATTAGGTGGAAATAAAAACATCTAGTTCGCGATGACAATTCAGTTGCTCTCGCTCGTGTTAATTATGTTAAATTTCAATGTTAATTTTTTTTACCAGCTACATGTTGCAAATACTTGTTTACACACAGATGCGAAGCTGAGCTTCGCAAACACTAGCCAGAACACGAAAAAACTGCTTTTTAAAGTAAATTAACAAAAAATAGATATGAGCCTCAAAATAGTAAAACTCTGCATTGTATCGGATTCGAACCGGCGACCTTGAGACTTGGCGTCTCACTCCCTGCACTCTCGACCACAAACGCTTAACAACCACAAATAAAGCAGCTACATATACAAATTTTCAATGCAATGCAGCAAAAAAATAAACACGATCTTACAAATAACAGTTTGGAATATAAAAAACTGAAGTCATCCACACTAACAATGCATATAATAAATTGGTAAGCATAAAGCCACATTTTGTATTATTTATGCATTCCAAAAAATTGCGAGATATATATAGATTTGGAAAATTTCATAAATCGAGTTTTTATAATTGTTACGTTGTTTGAAACAAATTGCTGTTTTCGGTTCATTTGTGGAATTAAAAATGCATCGACAGTGTTAACTTATTGCTAATCGAATTACAAAGCACATTCTATCAAAAAACCGCACAGGTACTACCAAAGGGAGGCCGTTAGCAAATAAGGTTAAGAAAACAAAATATTCGTACTATTACACTACGCTCATTAAAGTTCGCAATTGTAAAAATGCCTGGAGGGGTTATCAGAGAGCATTTCAGCTCATCGAGTGGTAACCCTGAAAACAGTTACAGAAGAGAGGCATAAAACAAGGGAAGTAAAGTGACAAAACACGAAATAATTACTTAACTGGACATTAGAGTACGGTCAAAAAATATAACTGGATAACAACCAAACGCCGCTTTTTCGAAAAGTTTTTTATCGACGCTGCAATTCAGATTACGATTGACAGTGCTTAAATATGATAAATCACTCAGCCTGATCTAACGCTTGCAAGTGTTTGATTTTGCACGAGAAAAAAACCATAGTCCAATGATAATTCAAAATTTAGGAGCCCGGGAAACGAATATATCTTGAGCGGATGGTGAAAGAAGTTATGATTCATTAAAATTAGCTTTAACCAGTTAAAGACCATTTGAATAAATAAAAACAAGTTAAAAACTTGCTGTATGAAGCTATGGCCCGATAAAGGTACATATAAACCTTTAGCAGTACCTTATAACACGTTGAAAGTAGCTATTACCCGTTAATGGCCTTGCAAAGTAGTTATGATCAGTTTTAAAGTAACCACGACCGTAAAGGTACTACGACCCATTAAATTGAGATATGACCTTGTAAAGAGTAAGATAGCTATGACCCTCAGTGAAGCAGTCAGCCAACATATGCAACAGAACTTACTTGGTCCACTTGAATTGCGTTCGTATCCAGAATAGGCGTGCTGACCAATCTTCTGATCGAATCCTCCTTCACGTAAAAAAGCATCTTCGGCTCACCCATGGCCTTGAAAAAAATGAAACATTAATCAGAAACGCTCCTTTAACACTATCTCGAAATAATTTGGAGTATAAGCTCGAGTCAAGTTCAAATGCTGTACATCACGCTCAGATCTATGCAAAACGAATCTTTTGTCTCAATTGAAAAAAAAAACGCGTTTTTGTTTTACCTTTTCGTTTCATCAAGTTAAACAATTTTCAAATCCCTCACCTTGCACACTTTGGAGTTGGCTGCCAGCTTGTAGTTTTCCTTGCATGAGCAATCGAAACTTCCGGCAGTATTAACACAACCTAAAACCGACGATCAAAATAATACACAGAAGCGAGGCTGCGCTTCGCAAACACTAGCAAGAACACGACCAAAAAGCAGCTCTATCAATGGAAATAATAAAATGTAGAAATAAGCCTCGAATTAGCAAAAACTCGACTATGTGTAGGAATAAAATCTGCGACCTACTGCAATCAAGAGATTTAGAGTCTCGCGCACTATCCACTCAGCCATGAAAGCTTAAAAACCAACAAACACTAGTCAGGAATAAAGCAGCTACATATGCTAATAAATTGTCAATGTAATTCAGCAAAAATGGCATCAAATACAATTACACTCAATTTTGCAATTAGTAATTTGGAATATAACAAAACGAAGGCATCCACACTAACTTTGCATGCAAAAAATCGCAAAGCATAAATTCACATTATGTATTATAAATTGCCAATGTTATTCAGCAAAAATGGCATCAAATACAAATAGACTTAATTTTGCGTCATTATTGTTATGTTGTTTGAAACAAACTAATTTTTTCGGTTCATTTGATGAAATAAAAAATGCATCAACTGTGTTAACTTATTATTATTTGATTGTCAAAGCACATGCAATGAAAAAGCTGTAAAGGTGCCCCAAAAGTGGCATCAATATTTGCGACTCAGGTTGGATGAAAGAAGGCTCGTACTAATTCACTCTCTTCGCAAGGGTCACAAGGACTTAACTTTACCCCAACGCCAATAAATAACCCGGGTTGACCTCCATACACCGAAAATGCTTACCATGCAATTCCATTCATCAAGTGTCTGGAAAAAGGCTTGTCATACAATTTTGAAACTGTTTCCAGCTAACTGGTTGAAACTAACTAACTTGGTTGAAAAATGGTTGAAACTATTTCTTACTAACTAACTTTCTCATCTAACTTTTAAAAAACTATTTTTTTGTATTGCATGTTTATGTATGCCTTGAACAATGTCGAATAATTTAAAAACTCATATTTCAAAAACAATCATTTTTGAAAAATTTTGCCAAAAACTAAAACTTTGTTACATCATACGTGGAAGACAACTCTAAGACACTTCAGGTCGTTTTCTATGCATTTTAAATGCAAGACCGTCCAATATTTGGTGATTTGAATAAAACAAGTTCTTTGCTACTGGCGTTCGGTTACGAACACAACCCAAAATTTTCTTATATGGAAAAAAGCTTATTATAGAGGTTTCAAACAATTTTCTGTACGTATGGAACTGTATGGCAAGAAATTTTTCATATATGGAAATTGTGCGACAAGAAATTTTGGTCAACTCGGAAAAGCTTATGTATGCCTTGAACAATGTCGAATAATTTAAAAACTCATATTTCAAAAACAATCATTTTTGAAACATTTTGCCAAAAACTAAAACTTTGTTACATCATTCGTGAAAGACAACTCTAAGACACTTCAGGTCGTTTTCTATGCATTGTAAATGCAAGACCGTCCAATATTTGGTGATTTGAGTAAAACAAGTTCTTTGCTACTGGCGTTCGGTTACGAACACAACCCAAAATTTTCTTATATGGAAAAAAGCTTATCATAGAGGTTTCATACAATTTTCTGTACGTATGGAGCTGTATGGCAAGAAATTTTTCATATATGGAAATTGTGCGACAAGAAATTTTGGTCAACTCGGAAAAACCTAAGAACTGAGTGAGATAAAAAAATGACATAGATGGGAAAAACTATTTGGTTTTCAACAGTTAGCAAGGACTCAAGTGGCTGGAATTTTTTTCAAAAGGGTCGACAGCAGTTCGCCGTGATGAACTGAACAGCTCGCATATTTTTTTTTCGCTAAATGCTATTCAAATTGGCGTCCGAGCTTTCAAGTCAGCAATAGATCAAAACATAACATGTTTTTTAATGTAATAAGGTAGTGCTGATTTAAATTATCCGGACAAAACGAACAAAACTTGAATTTTCAAACGCGTTTTTCTCAATTTGGGTCAAGATTAGACAAAAAGTGAAGGAAACAAAAGTTGCTTAGAATTTAACAAGAATTAATATGATGCAATGTTTTGCCCCAAATTCTCAACAAAATTTTTACCCCAAAAATGGGTCATTTTGGCTTTTTTCAATTAATCAAGAAGTACGCTGAAACTTTTTTGTTAATTGATAAGAATATTATATCACAGGAAGCCTCCTACGCAGTTCAACAAAGTTTAAGGAGGGTTAAATCTCCAAAAATTTGCGCAAATTGTTTAAAATTTATTTTCAAACAGAGATTCTGGGTTTTATATAGTAAAAATCACATCATTGAATATCAAGTGAAAATTTTTTCTCTTATACTGGTTTTTGGAGATTTTACCATCTTAAACTTTGCTGAACTGCGTAAGAGGCTTCCTGTGATTTAATTTTCTTATCAATTAACAAAGTAGTTTCAGCGTAATTCTTGATTAATTGAAGAAAGCCAAAATGGCCCAATTTTGGGTTAAAATTTTTGTTGAAAATTTTGGAGAATAAATGGCACCATATTAATTCTGGTGAAATTCTAAGCAACTTTTGTTCTCTTCACTTTTGTCTGATCTTGACCCAATTTGAGAAAAACGCGTTTGAAAATTCGAATTTTGTTCGTTTTATCCGGATAATTTAAATCAGCACTGTATCTGGGATCAAACCAGTTTTGTTACCATCTTGGGAGCATGTAGACCAGGTGTTGCACTCGTTCTTATCTTGACACAGTTTCGGATTGGCGAGAAAATGTTCGTATCCGGCGTGACAGCTGCACATATACATCTTGTCGTTCCCTTCATGCATAACAGTTGTGCAGTTCTGCTCGCAGCCGCCGTTGTTGTTGTCACAGGGTTCATTCTAGAAATGTTTTTATTTTCGTATTAGACTGTAGGCTTTCTTAGAGGTTGTTTTGTCCCATATATTGGCGTTTCTAAGTAACTGTTTTCGACAGAAATTTTTATACTACCTGAAGACAAACATTATCGTCCTGAGCTCAAACTTAACAAAACTGAACGCATGAGGGCAAAACGTCGATGCCCTTTAATGTATTTTAACTTCTTTTACGGTTCAAAAACTATGACAAAATGTTTCAAAACGGCTTGTCTCCAGTTCTGAATGAAAATTTCAATCACACGCTATGGCCATAACAGAGCGATATATTTCGTGTCTTGCATTGTTGAACCCAATTAGCTTGCAGCAAGTATTTTTGAGCTTAATTAATTGCTGCCGTCGCTACGCGTCAAGCCGGGGCAAAGCTGCACTTCGCATAGGCACAAGCAAAAATGGCAAAAACGGGCTTTAAAAAAGCATAATCAATCTGAAAATCCCCCTTCGAGCGAGAGAAATCAACATAAGAAAGGATGCTTTGATAACACCAGGGGACCCTATCATACTAAAACAATGTTACAGATTAACTAATTCCAAACTGTCAGACCCGCTTTGCCATATTAAATTTTGCCAAGACAAAAAATCAGACTGACATGACATCCAATTTCGTCTGTCTTATCATCGCAATCTGCATTGCCATCGCACGCTTGGTCCGGGCGGTAACACTGGGTGGAGTTGTGGCATCGCAACAAAGATGAGTCACCGTCGCACTCTCGGCTCTCCGGTTCACACTGCGCCTGCTCCTCGTCCGAGCCATCGTCACAGTCTTCTTTTCCGTTGCATTTGTGGAACCCATAGATGCATTCATCACTTGAAGCACATTGGAACATATCCTCCGCATCACAGGTCACGTGGTCTAAGAACAAAAATACTTTTATCTCACGACAACTTTCAGAAAAAAATGAGTGCTTCTTGACGTGTAACTTTAGGATCATACGTTAAAACTTTGGAAGGGACTAATAATGTTCGTCTGAAAGTTCATCATCTCTCGCTTCTTTGTAAATTTCAAAGCCTAAGTTGTACTTTTTGCAAAGCACACTTTTTGCTTATAAGTACGCAGATTCCGTGCACATACCTTAATACATAAAACCACAAAACTGTCGCGGAATCCGTGACCATATGCCTGAGGATTGCAGGCAGGGGCTTTGTCGACCATTAAAAATCAACAAAGATTCGGAAAACTCGCCCCAATCCGAGAAAGATATTTTTGACAGAGCTTCATTCTTCAGCTATCAAAGCAACGAGGAATCAATAATCAATTGACTCAATTTAATTGAGTAAAATTATAAGTTGAAAAAAAGGAACTGGCTCATTCCAACAATTGTAATCCATCCCCTGCTTACCGCATCCCTGTTCGGTGGAGTGGAGCTCGTCTGATCCGTCGCCACAGTCGTCCCGTCCGTTACACTTCTGCCTCTCGTCTATGCACATGGTGTTGTTGCATGTGAACTGGTAGTCCGGACAATACCGATCGCCCGGGTAGCGGAAGTCTACAGAACCAATCTCTTGTTTTGTTTTGAAAAATGCGAATATATTTTGATTACAATTTCAGGAACCTTGTTTCTTACCACTGGTAGTATTTTAGGCGTATACTACCCCCGCTCAAAACTTCTCGTTCACATCTCCCTCTTGACACACCATCCCCTACGTTAACAATCCCCTCGCCACAGTTAAGAGGAGGGGCGGGTGAACACGTGCACGGATAGGGAAGGGAGCAGGGTTAAACGCGCATTTTATAGAAAAATTGATTAGGTTCAGATTTCGAGCAGGCGGTATTTGTTGAATGGTTTATTAATGGATTTTAACGTGGATTATAATGTGTTTTTACGAAAAAGATCGATTAAACTCAGGAAAAGGACGCCCCCCCCCCGTCAGGTATTCGACACCCTGCTGACCCAAAGGGCCCCCCTTTGTACTATTTTGAGATATCCATTTTTGGCGATGAACCCCAAAAATTTTCTAAAGGCGCCTTGGGCGCCAATATATATTAGTTTTAAGGGGGGAGCGCGCGCCGAAAAAACGCGATTTTTTGGTCAAAATTTTCCAAAAAGTGCCTAAATACGGCTTTTTTGGCCTGTTTTTTTTAATTTAGCCTGGCGCAGAAAATTTGGCCAAAATAGGAATAAAACAGTGCTTTGGAAGAGCTCAAAAAATCAATTTGGTCGACCTAGAAAAAAAAAGGTCGACAAAATTTTCAAAATTTTTTTGAAAATCCGCCCCCCCTCGAGAAAACCCTAGATCCGCCCCTGATTATACTAACAATAAAATCGATTTCACGGTCTTAATTTGCAGCAAAAATGGATTATAATGACATCCTTTTCGCCATAATTTTCCCAGGAGCGAACCCCTTTTATCGAAACTCGAAACTCATATAGCTTAATTGATTTCGCAATAATAAAATCAAAATAATTATAAAAATAATCAAAACTGTGATTTTTTTAAATTTACAGCAGTGAAACCTCCAATTGATTTTTTTTCGATGAAATTCAATAGTCATTTAAACTTCGTTAGTCCTCAAAAAAGTATTGTGTAGCCAGCTTAGTCTCAATCTATACATAGCTCGAAAAAAAAACTCAGTTACATTATATTACAAGCACACAATGAACATACCGCAGCCGGCCTCATCTGACTTGTCAGGACAATCCGGCACTCCGTCCAGACACTTGTTGCCCTCTGGGATGCAGTGTCCACTCTCCACACACTGGAACTGGTCGCTCCTGCACACGTGACTAGCTTTACAGTAGTCCTCTTTTTCGTCCGAGTTGTCGCCGCAGTCGTTGTACTGATCGCACACGTCGGACTTGGGAATACACTTCGAGTTGTTGCACTGGAACTCCAACGCCGGGTCGCAATCACGGTGTTGACCTAAACGTTGCGAAGTTCTTTGGTGCGAATTTCTTATTGGAGAAAAGTTAATAACAAAATATACTTTACAAATATTCAAAAGCAATTCTTTCTTAATTTCAAGCGTAAACTGAATCTTTTTACCAGAAAAACTCTCACCTCCGCATAGCTCCTCTCTCTCGTCGGATAAGTCGGCGCAGTGGTTGATGAAGTCGCACTTGAATCTACCCGCGATGCACTTGGTGTTGCTGCACTGGAAGTCTCCTTCGGGACACGTGTGCGACGCACAATCTATCTCGTCTGTCCCATCGCGACAATCGTCATCCCCGTTGCACACCTAAATACACATGAAAAAAATGCCTTTAAAGTAACAAGATATTTATTGCCGAAAAATTTGACTTTCAGCTTACATATAGAGCTCGAATGCTCGTTCTTGATTGCATTTCAAAAATATCTTAAAACCCAAGGTTTTTGTTCATGCGGGTGATTGATCAAAATTTTAATTAGAAATATAGTCGTTCGATTGAGCTAGAACGTTGATTGAAAACTAAAAGTCCAATTGAATGCTAATTTTAGAGAGTTGTGAAAACAAATTCGAGCAGACAATTGATTTAAAAGAGCAAGCAGCCAATTTCGAACAAATTTTGCATGCAAATTTGAAGTTTCAGGCAACTTGCAGATGCAAATTTGGTCTGAAAACCTAAAATTTGCACGCAAAAACGTTCGAAAGTAAGGCCAATTGATTATTAAATACAACTTCATGAGTTCGAACTTTGTGCAACATTTCTTATTTCTATTTCTGACCCGGTAGTCGTTGATGCATCTGTAGTTGGTCCTGCAGTCGAACTTGCCGTCCTCCTCTCTGCAAATGGGGGGATCAGTTTTGCAACTGGGAGGCTCGTCCTCTCCACCCTCGCAGTCAAAATCCACATCACAAACCCAGGCTTTATCGATACACTTGCCAGAATCGCACTGGAACTGGTGAACCGGGTCGCATCCTGAACAATTTAACACAGGAGGCAAATTTAAAACAGGAAGCAAAGCAAAAAGCAAAATTAAAACCTTAAAAAAAGTATTGAACTTCTGATTTAAAGATGCTTTTGAAACAACCGTCAGCAAATAAACATCGCGCAACAATCGGAATCCATCCTCAGACTTTCTGACTAAAATTTACTCAATGTACTGAGAAAAATAGAACAGACGGTTTTAGAATTTCTTTGCTCTCTGCAAATTTCTCTCCTAAAATTTGAAGATTTGTACAATTTGTACAAAAAGTCGCTCTTCTATAAAGATTTTTGAGTGGAATAAATGCGTTTGTTCAACCTTGAAGCAACCACAATTTTTTCTCTTTAATCTTATCACGATTAACGTGTTTGTGTACCGTTCAATTATGTTTTGAACTGTGACAAAGTGCACAAAAATTTCAATAGAAGAACACAATTTGCCAAGGAAAGAAATAGTGCGAAGATAAAAGAACTCTTCTTACGGCAGTTCTCTGTAATTTCGTCCGAATTGTCGCCGCAGTCGTTCCTTCCATCGCAGAACTTCGTCTCTGCCACACATTTATTGTTGCTGCACTTCTTGTAGCCGGAAGCACATGCGTGCAAGTGACAGTCCTGCTCATCTGTAGCGTCATCTCTTGCAGCCTGGTTGCTGGAAGTTGGATCTTGGCAGTGATTTGTCCCGTCGCAAATTTGACCGGCCGAAACACACTTGTGACTCTCCACACAGTACAGTTTGCCTGCGTCACAAGGGTTCACTGAACAAGACTCGGGTTCGTCCGAGTTGTCGAAACAGTCTACTACTTTGTCACAGTGTTTCCACCCCTCGTAACACCCGGAGTTATCGGCACACACCTAAGCATAGCCAAGAGACAGTTACAAAAATGACAAAGAGGCAAAACTGAAGCTTTGCAAACACGAGCGAGAAAGCGGCAAAGATTCAGAAGCTTAAAACTTCGCAAAAACTCAATTTGTTCATGCCATAATTTGGGATAAAATACTCTAAAGGCAACCAGACTAATTTTGCATGTATTAAATTAGAATTGTATTAAATCAAAGTGCGTATATATCTTGCGAAGTATATCGACTTTAATTATTATACTGTTTTCTCTAACAAACAGATTTTTTCGGTTCAATTGATGAATTAAACGAGGCTCAACAAAGTTATATTTTCACTGATTAAATGTCAAAGCACATATGAGATTATACTGTTAATGATGCCTACCGATTCAAAAGTACCACCAAAAGTAGCACTTTTGCATGCCAATAAAGTGCGACTGCAAATAGGGCAGAAAAAGTCCAGATAATCAATGATATGCAAAATTAATTCAACAAATTTATGACTTTTAGTGCGAAATCCAGATACTATCAAAATTTTTCCCAATAAAATTTCTTTAACTTACACGACAGATCTCTTTTGAGAAACACATTGTTTTTTTTTCAGAAATTGAGTTTACCCATTTTATGTGGCACAAGACAAAAAACTGAGATAGCTCTGCAGTTCCTGGAACGAGCAATTAATAAGGGAGGCTTTGGCTGGCCCAACATTAAGTGCAAAGTTTTGACGGCAAACTTTCAAAATTTAATTAGACCTTGACTTTCTGGAGACAAACAAGCGAAAAGGAGTTTCTCAATAAAGCTATCCAAAAAGCCTCCAATAAAAAACCTGAAAAAAAAAAGTTTAAAAATTTTGAGGCTACAATTGACAATATGGGATGAACGATTCGTTATACGCGGGTCATCAAGGAATCTAATCATCAAAAGACTCACAAAAATAAAGATATATACAGTTTCTTCATCTCAAATTTGCACGTCAATCAGTGTTGGATCTCCAGAGGAGAAAAAAGCTGCCTCAAATTTGGTATAGGGCTAATAAAAGGGGAAAACTAGATCGCCGTGGAAACGGACTAAATTAACAGATTTTGAAAAAAAACAAGTACTACGACGAACAATGATACTTGGACGAACAATGATGACGACAAAAACTATAAATTTCATTGCTTGGATAACAACTGTGACTCATACTAAAATACTGACATGCATTATTTCGATTTTGCTTGAAAGTTATATCAGTACGCCGTAAAAAGTTTTTGTAATACACAAAAAGCTAGTTAATCGGTTATTTACATGTTTTATATGACTTAGAAAACCGTAAGGTCTCAAAAATATTGCGCGTAGATAGCCAATGTGATAGTATTCCAGATTGTTCCGATCACAGTCAGTTATCATTCCAAATAATGAGATCAAAATCAGAAAAACTCGCTTTTTGTTCCTACGACTGCCTTCGGGCGTGTTTCAGTTTTTTAGTATTTTTCTTTTTTTTTTCAATGCAAAATCAGGCCCACGAACATCATCAGAAAATTTAAGCTCTTCGAAGCGTGATTCAAAAAATATCAAATATATTTAATAAAGTATTCGGTGTAAAGGAAAACCGGTTCGAAATTTCAGCATTTGATTCTGATTTCGAGCAATTAAAGCAACCGAGTAGATGTTGTCATAAATTTTATTTAGGCCGGCGAAAAATGGTTTGTATTCCAAGAAAACTAGTTTTCGCAGCTTTATTACCGCATCTGGGGCAATAGAAAATTTGTCAAAAATTTTAAAAAATAGTCTGCAATTTAACATTATTTGTTTATTTTATTTTTTGTAACAAAAACAAATGTAGTTGATTATCCCTCATTTACAAATAATCTAAGATTTTCTATTGCTCCTCTCATCACACCTAGCACAAAACTACACAATTTTTAGAGAAACAATAATTTTTTTCTTTATGCCACTCGCACATAAACCTGCTACACTTAATTTAATTTAATTTTTTACAGGTATAAATTTGCCTCCAAAAAACTCTCTAGAGAAAGTTATAATTTAAAACATAATAGCTCATTACTACTTCAGTTTATAATTTGGACAAGATACTCAGCGTAAAAGTTAAGAATCTTCGTGAAATTATCCGCTCTTTGCAAACTTGAGTCTGAACGCCGAAAAAGTCAGAGTAGTTTGATTCAACACGAAGACATTTTTTGGTTTTTTAAGAATCTTACTCACATTCAATAGGGTTTAAAACGATACCATATGTGATCCTCAAAGAGCTTTCTTTGAGGTACCTGAAAGCAGATGAAAAAAAAACACGCTACTTTCCGACGTGGTCGGAACAAAAACACCCCAAAAACAACAAAACAAAGCCAATATTCAGTTTGAGAAGTGCCAATCAACTCAAGGAAACCGAAAAGAACATGATAAAAAGGAATTTTTCCAACCAAAAAAAAACAAAAAAAACTCACGACGTAAGTATCTTCACTTCATTCATTGCGGTTTTAAAAGATTAATCAAGAGAAATTATCCTATATTTATCTATTTCTGCCAGACTGCACGCCAATTTGATATAGTTTCGGCCATTTCATTCTAACTCATGAGTAAAGAGTTAAGGTTTAGCAAAGCTTTGGAGATACACAAACCTTGAACCCGGTTGGACAGTTGGCTTCACAAGATCCGTCCACCTGATTTAGTTGGAAGTCATCAGGGCACGCGCAGAGATAGTCGGAACCTCCGTTGACAGTCAGCAGCATTATTGCGCAACCAGATTGTTCGTAGCTCACCATTGCATCTACATACAAAATAAGAAAACTTTTAAGTTATAAAAAGTATATCAGCGAATAAATTTGATACGAAAACATCATATAATTAACGAAAGCAATCCAACTTCCAATGATTGCAGCTCTGCAACCTCCTCAAATAGTTTAATAGTTTTTTGACAGTTAGCATCTCGTGGTTAAACATAGAATTTGAGTGATCGGAAATTCATGTGTATTTTCTGTTGTTTGCTCATGAAAACACCACTCGATAGGCTAACTGGCCTTTTTGGTGTTCTTCCAAGATGGGATTTTTTTATATCGCTTTCAGTTATGTAAATAAAAATCGAGTCTGTTCCCTTCTTGAAAACGAATCTATTTTTATTTTATAATCAAGTGAAATTTCATGAAATGTTTTTTGCTTGCCAATGGTTTTATGTATGATTTGATTCAACTTTACTATCCCCTACACCGACGACAAACTGAGGGTGAGATTGTACAGCACAGCGGATCCACTATTTCAAAGTTGTTAACAATTCATTTGAGTTTAGCTGGCAAACCTCCTGCGGCATTCGTGACTTGATTGAGCTGCTTCAGCCGGTGGTATACATGCACGTCCATGGGTCTTTTCGCTGTTTCCGAGATGACCTCGGCGCCACTTCCGTTCCGCTTGTCTGCACGATTAATGGTTCCGTAGTCCCAGTCTGTCCAGAACACAAACTGATCAAACACTGTAAGGGCAAACGGATGGGCAAGGAATCCAGGGTTCTTGACTGATGACATCACAAGGTAGCGTTTGTTGCCGTCAAAGTCACATGATCTGAACATCAAAAAACTCTTTTTATCAAAAAATTTAACTAAAAGAGTAGATAAGCTTCATATGAAGCACCATTAATAACTGTGATCGACCTCTGATGCGCAAATAAAGCATAAGGAATCTGATCTGAAATGCTGGCAGTTTTGAAGACTTGGAACCAGGGGCGGATCTAGGATTTTCTCGAGGGGGGGGGGCGGATTTTCAAAAAAAATTCGAAAATTTTAACCTTTTTTTAGGTCGACCAAATTGATTTTTCGAGCTCTCCCAAAGCACTGTTTTGCCCCTATTTTGGCAAAATTTTCTGCGCCGCAGGCAAATTTTTGAAAAAACTGTCAAAAAAGCCGTTTTTGGGCACTTTTTGAAAAATTTTGACAAAAAATCGCGTTTTTTTGGCGCGCGCTCCCCCTCAAAGTTAGTATATATTGGCGCCAAAGGCGCCTTTAGACAAATTTTAGGGTCGGTCGGCCAAAAATGGATTTCTGAAAAAGTATCAAAGGGGGGACCCTTTGGGTCGGCAGGGGGTCGAATCCCTGAGGGGGGAGACGTCCGCCCCCCCCCCCGCCCCCCCCCCCCTAAATCCGCCCCTGCTTGGAACCATTTAATGAAATAAGCGAAAAAGTTTGGCACAACCAATAAAAGTGTTCGAATTACTCAATCGTTTGTAGGTGAGCATCGACCCAGTACAACATCTCAGTCGTTTCGTCTACAGTGAGTCCATTCGGCCAACTGATCCGCTCGACTACAATTCTAGTGGCCATAGTGCCGTCCATGTACATCCTGCCAATGTGCTCATTACCGTACCCCCAATCAGCGTAGAACAGGAGTTTGCCCCTCGGGTACACGACTATAGGGCGGGGCGATTTGATACCTTCACTCACGAGAGTCTTCCGATATTTGCCATCAATGGTTGCAACTTCAATAGTGGCTCGCTCACGGTCTGTCCAGTAAACATTTCTAAATGAAACAAATCAGATCATCATAATGACTGATCGAAAGATTATCACACTAACTAAAACTCAGATTATCTACAATTATAATAATTAAATGTTTCAATTATTTCGAAAAATTTGACTATTGGGATGCAATTTGGAGACCATCGACGTTGCAAAATATGTAAACTATCGCTAAGAACTACAGTTTTTCGAAATCCTAAGCAGGAATTTGAGACATAAATATCATCTATCACTGCTCCTGATTGGCCAAATTCAATCAAGGATTAATTGAAAACATTAAACAATTCACAGTTTGTTATTCAGAAATCCTCGTCATTACATTGATCAAATTTAACTATGAGCAACCTTGTGAAATGAGTTTAAAGTGTGTCAAAGGATACTGAAGTAAAAAAAAAGGAAAAATAATTTCTGGAGTGAGCGAGAGACGCGTACCTTCCGACCCAGTCTACAGATAGACCTTCCGCTCCTTGAACATCTCTCGTTACAAAATCTACGGGCACCTCTAGACCATTGATATGAGTCCTTCGGATTTTGCCCTGAGTATTGTCAACAAAAAACACCCGCTCCAACTCCCTGTTGAAGTCAGCTGCCACGATCAGATCCCCTTCGTCTTCCACGATTTCAACACTGCCAGTGTTTAAGTCCAGACGACGCACAGACAACTCGTCGCTGAAACGAACATACATGAAAACCAAGTTCAACAGATATATCACAAACTATTGCGGTAATCCTTGATTTTTTGAACAAAATTTGGGGCTCGATATTTTTTCAACTGTTGACAGATTCAAATGGTCAAAAAAGTAAATACTTCTGCCTATTTTTCACACTGAACTGAAATAATTTCTGGGGTGTGGGGATGAAAAGAGCACGTAAGGATTAAAGAGCTGAAAAGGGGCCAGTTTTTCTAACGTGAACAAGAGATAAGTGTCTTCGCCGGTTGTAGTTTGTACATGTTTGCAGACAGTGTCTGAGGTCAACGAGTATCCGTCTACGCAGCTGCAATCAACTCCGGGTGCCAAGTTGCGACACCTCTGCGTGCAGTATCTACAAAAAAAAACAGAATTAAACAAGGTTAACTGGTTGCTGCACAAGTACCACAGAATCTATTAATAGCCAGCACAGTTAGCTGCTTATTAAGTGTTGTCTTCAAAAACAGTTTTTTACACAGAGGCGAAGCTGCGCTTTGCAAAAACTTGCGAGAACACGACCACAAAGCAGCTCTATCAAGTGAAAAAAGAAAAATTAGAATTAAGCCTCGAATTTGCAAAAACTCGGCTACGTATAGGATTCGAATCTGCGACCTAGAAAATTTGAGTCTCACGTACTATCCACTCAGTCACGGATACTTTAAATTACTAAAAAACTAGCCACCAATAACGCAACTACATATGCTAATAAATTGCCAATTCGATAAAGCAAAAGTAGCATCAAATACAAAAAAGAGACAATTCTGCATGTAAAAAATTGGAAAGCATAAAGCAAAATTATGTCATAAATTATGCATTTCAAATAGGTAAAATTCGATCGATAGGTAAAATTTAAATTTAGTTTAGAACTATAAAGTTTGATTTTAAAACTTCTGTTAAGCGGAAATTCTAGAACTTTTTAAATTTCCTTTAAATGAGAGAGACATTGTCATTTGAGTTGAGTTAATCAAGTTTGCGACAGTATTTTCAATTTAAAAACAAAGATAACCAGCTGCAGTGCCAGTAGCTTAGAATGTTCCGACCATAATCTTTACAATTACAACAAAGTTTTTTTTCCAAATCGGTGCCGTTTTTTTTCGGCGTGGTGTGATAAAATGATCTGAAAGATAAACTAAAGGCATAATCGACCGTCATAGTAGAAAGCAAGTTGTAAAACAATGTATTTTGAAAGCCAACTAGAAAAAATCAAAAAATTTTCAAGTTTTGTTGTAGTTTTTTTTTTACTTTTTTAAGTTTACGTTTCCAAAAAGCGCTGAAATTCTCAAAAAAACTAAGTTTACTCGATTAAAATTATGTGGATTCTAAGTTTTTAAGTCATTAAAATAAAAAGTTATTGTACGCAGAGGCTGATCTAGGATTTTCTCGAGAGTGGCGAATTTTCTCGAGAGTGGCGGGGGAAATTTTGAAAAAACAGGCCAAAAAGCGTTTTTTTGACGCGCTCCCCCTCAACATTAGTATGATTAGACGCCAAAGGCGCCATTAGAAAAATTTTAGGGTCAGTCGGCCAAAAATGGATATCTCAAAATAGTACAAAGACGGGACCCTTTGGTTCGGCAGGGGGTCGAATCACGGAGAAGGGAGGCGACCGACCCATTTAAATCCGCTGGTGATTGTACGCTTAGATGCTGTGAAAATAACAATCAATAAATTGCTCCAAAGCGCAGACCCAATAGCTAAAATGACTAATGTGCTAACATCCCAAAAATGATGATTCGATTAATTTACTTGCGTCTTTTCTTGTATTACAAATTGAAACTTCCTTATCCAGCCAAATCCGGAGGAAATTTTTGGTCTATCTTACCTCGGCTGTAGACTGCATTCATCAATGTCCAGACATCTGGTGTGAGTGTCGTCATTAGGGTCCAACTGGAACCCCTCGTTACACTCACACCTGTATCCGGACTTGAGGTCCACGCAAACTTGTTCACAGCTGTTTGCTTCCTCTATTTCACACTCATTTACATCACAGTTAGTCTCGTCGGTTCCGTGCTAAAATGGGGAAAAATGACACTTTCAGTAGTAAAATAACTAAACACAAGGTTTTAGGAAATTCTTTGTGAAATGATTTTTCGTTTAGTCTAAAAAAGCGAGTAATACTTACGTCACAGTCATGGGTGCCATCGCAGACTTCGTCAATGCTGATACACTTCTTTCTCAGGTTCCCCGCACACTCGAACTCAGTTTCAAGGTCACACTGTGTGCTCGCATCATCGTCCTCATAATCACAAACATCTTCGTCCGACTTATCGCCACAGTTGTTCATGTAGTCACACCTGCTCAAATGCAAACTGGTGAAATACAAGCTTCTGATGTGTCTTTCAACCAATCAGAATCGACTATTTTACTCATAATAAACAAATATAATTATATTGAGATTAATGCCCGGGTCGAGAACCCAGACTCATGTCCAGACTTTAAGGGTCGCGCCAAATCCGAATTTAGACCCAAATTGAATAGTCGCGTCGAGAGTTTGAGTTTGGAAAGTCTGGTCATGAGTCGCGCCGTGGGCCGCGAAAGTCTGGAGATACCAAAAATTGGTCGCGAAAGTCTGGACATGGGTCGCAAAAGTCTAGACATACCAAAATTTGGTCGCCAAAGTCTGGACATGAGTCGCGAGAGCCTGTGTCCAGACTTTTGCGACCCATGTCTAGACTTTCGCGACCAATTTTTGGTCCATTTGATCTATTTTGATCGAGAAATATAGTACAACAGGGACGTTTTGGTTTCTAAATGCTTAAGAAGCTGCGTTAAAGACGCGATTGGTTCCGCGATTCAACAACCTAGTGTAGATTATCTTGCACCGATAACAATTTTAGTAAATCTGACTTTCTCAAAATACGAAACTGCAGTTGGATGTTGGAGTAAACATCACCCGCTTACTGACCTATATCCTCCCCATATACATTTTCCATTTCGGCACGTGAACTCATTTTCTTGGCAAACGCGGTACTGGCATTCGGAGGAGGGTTCATCCGAGTTGTCGCCGCAGTCGTTGTCATGGTCGCACTTGTATTGATTTGGGATGCAGAGTTTGTTGCCGCACTGGAACTCATTCGCGGCACATGGTTCATGAGTGTATTCGCAATCTCGCTCGTCTTCGTCCGACTGTCCGCAGTCGGCTTCTCGGTCACACACCCAAGACTGGAGCAAAAGTATCAGAAATTTGAATGCTGATAACTGGTCAGAAAGGTTCACTCACTATTTCCATTTGTTAAACTTTTAACAAGTAAAATCAGAAAAACAACTATAGTCGGTTGCTGTGAAAGTAGCACAGAATGTCCCGACCACCCGGCCACACTCAAAAGAAACTGCAAACAAATTCATTTATTCTTCAAGATAGTGTCATGTTTTGTGTTGTGCGTGATTGATACGATGAGAGAACCATACAAACATACTAACGTTATTCAATTAGGCATAGTAGTAACAGATATCTTCGAAAACTGAACAAAAAAGTTCAAAAAACTTTCAAAAATGTTTATATTATTTTGCAGAATAATTTATTTAACAAAATATTAGTAGCCAAGTATGCCCAATTTTATCAACACTGGGACAAATTTTTTAAAATTTTGAAATATTCGAACACCGACTGAAATGGCGTAATGTGATATACTGCTCGACCCATTCCGATGATTATTCGTGGTATTATGAAATAGAATCTACAAAATTGTATTAACTTAAATTTCAATTTGTTTAAGTCAATTTGAAAAAAGCTTTATTTTGAAATTTAAAACCAATCAATTGAACACTAACCAAGGGTATGCATCTTCTCCTGTGGCTTCCAACCTCGGAACACTTGAACTCATTCGGCTCACACTCCAAGTTAGGGCAGTCCACGTAGGGCTCCTCGTCCGAATTGTCCTCACAGTCGTTGTCCGAGTCGCACCGGTAGGCCTTCGGGATACACTTCCCGTTGTTACACTTGAACTCGTCATCGTTACATTGTACTAAAGTTTCTGTAACAAACGAAAATGCAAGTATGATTGTTACTACATCCTCCATATATAGATGGGTCGGTCTGTGGAGAAAATGTTTGTACCAAAAATCGTCGGAAAAAGCATTTCCATTTGTTCATTGCCGTTATGTCGTATATGATGAAAAATACAGAAAGGTAGAAAAACAAGTTAATGAGATTAAAATGCTGACCGTTGCATAAATCGGGTGATTCGTCCGAGTAGTCGCCACAGTCATTATAGTTGTCACAAACCCATCCGTCAACATAGACGCAATGTCCATTGTCGCACTTGAAGTTGCCCTCGCCACAGTCGTGTGTATCACATCCCTCTTCGTCGCTGTCGGTGCCGCAGTCGCCAGGGTGGTTGTCGCATCGCCTATACCACAAAAACGAACATAAGGCTCGTTTCTCAAAAGAACAATCACACGGTCATGGTACTCTGAATATTTAGTTCCTGCCAAGCATCGTGAAAAAGACTGAGCAGCTCTTATTTTGGACATTTCTCTCGTAGATAAATGGTATTTACCCTGCGATAGCAAGGTTATTGCAATCGGGTACTAGACTTGTTTCCCGTAAATAAATTAAAGCACATTATGGTCAAAAATGGAAATGGTAAATTTAGGTTCAATTCTTAATTAATTCTAACTTCTTTATCTATGCGGCAAAGTGGTCTGAGGGTAACGAATACGCCTGCGACGGTTGAGGCCCTAGGTTCGAATCTGACAGGAACAGTTTTTTTAAAGTGAAATAGTCCGTTTCCCTAAAATTTGTCGGCTCATTATTTGTCTGCTTATTTTTTGTCGGCTTTGTTGCCAAATTGTAGAAATATTGTTTTTTAAGGTTTTTTACATTATAGTTGCTTTTAGTGTTCTGGCTTACCTCTGATGTTTGTAATTTTACTAACCTTGTCTTTTTTGTTTTCTTTTTTTGTCGCTTAAAAATTTTATTCTGCCCAAATGATTTCGGCCTATTTTTTAACGGCTTAGTGACTTAGTTTCGATTCGTTTCAAGGAAAACAAAGTTTTTATGCTCACCTCTGGATCGCACAAAAAGCTAAAAACAGAAATGCTAGGTGAAGTTTTTCATGACAACAATTTGTTTTCGGCTTTTTTTCTCTTTTCCTTTCCTTTCGGCTTGATAGGCTTTGGCTTAGATTATATCGGTATGATAGCCATATTACGTCTTTCAATAAGCGAAAATTTTTTTTGCGTGTGCGTGTCTGCGTTTTGTGGGTGAAAAGGACTTCTTAACTTGAGTCTTGTTGATTTTTTTTTCGGCATAAATGGTTTCTGCTAAGGTATTTCTGTTCCGACTCGAATAAAACGGAATATTTATGCTCGGTGTCTTTTTTTATTCAGTCAATTTTCACCGATCGAATAAATAAATTTTAACAAATTTTTTTTAATACCCTATTGAAGATATCAACTTTCTGAGTCCAAATGTAAAAAAAATACTTCATCTCGGATTATTTTTTGTAAAGTTCTGGGGTTTTAAAAAAGCCAAATTTGCCCTGTTCTGGACTAAATTATGCGCGCTTTAAAGAGTTTATTCATAATGCTGAGAGCGTAACGCGAATTATTCATGCGTGGCGGATTATCCCGCACAACAAAATTGTTACCAATTTAAATGAGGCTAGCTAATTGGTCGTATTAATTTCGAACGACTCAAAATTTTACTTTTTGATAATGTCCAAAATGTACAGGTTTTCAATATTTTCTCTTCCCTAAAACTATTCGATATGAATTAAGGGACAGTCGGAACATTCAGGGCTTCAGAATTTTTTTCGTTTTTTTTTACATAGCATTTTTACATTACTGTTTTGTATCGAAAGTGGTGCGAAGCTCATCTTTGCCTCTGTGCAAATATCTGCAATCAGAGAATTTGAGCTCTTCAATTTATTAGAAAATATTGCTTTCTAGGTTAGTTAGACGTTCTGCCATTCTGTCAATGTTTGTGTGCGTGAAAAAAAACTGGTTTTGATCGACAAAAAAGCAATTTCGCGCAATTGCAATTTGATTTGTTTTCTGAAAAGGAAAAAATTGTATTTTTGTCAGCAACTAAACAACAGGCATCAAACCACAACAAAATATTGCAATTCTTACTTTTTCTACAATATAAGAGACGGGAACTTTCAACAAAGAGGCGAAGCTGCGCTACGCAAACACTTGCGAGAACACGACCAATTAGCAGCTCTATCAATTGAAATAAGAAAAAGTAGAAATAAACCACGATTTTGCAAAAACCCGAGGCTTAGCAAAAAATACAATTAGCAAAAATCTGCGATCTAGGAAATTTGAGTCTCACGCACTAACCATTCAGCCACGGATGCTTAAAATCCTCAAAAACTAGCCATCAATAACGCAGCTACATATGCTAACAAATTGCCACTTAGATGCAGCAAAAGTAGCGCCAAATACAAAAAGATAAATTTTGCATGTAATAAATTGCCAGTCATATAACCACATTATGTATAAATTATGAATTTCAAAAAATTGCGAGATATATTGAATTAGAAATTTTCTGAAATCGAGATTTTATGATTGTTATGTTGTTTGAAACAAATAGCTTTCTTCGGTTCACTTGATGAATTAAAAATGCATCAACTGTGTAAACTTATAACTATTCGAATGTCAAAGCACATGTTATCAATAATCTGTAAAGTTGCATTATATTGGCAATCAATTTGTGTTGCCAATCGTGGCAGGACAATCTACCCTATTCCAAACTACCCTATACCATTCTACCCTATGCCATTATACCCTACATACCAATCTACCCTATACCAATATACCCTATACTAATGCCCTATATACCATAATGAGGTCCCATAATGGAATCTTTCAAAGTCCTAATTAGAATCGGAAAGATACAGCACGTGTTAATTCATTTGAGTGTAAATTTTTGGACTCAATTTAAGTCTTTCACTTAAGGAAATTGCTCTAAAGACTAAATCGCAATTAGAGCCTCGAAATCTGAAGTTTGTTTCACTTAACAAGTTTTAATCCCCAATTTTCAAAATCACGTACAAAAATGAAACCAAAACTTGCTGAAAGGCTGCTATTTTCATTTATGTCAAGCGTTCAACCGGAAAATAAACGAAGTGGGCCTGAAGCGACTGTACAAAACCTATCATGATCTCAATTTGTCATTGCGCTTAATTCCAGCTCTAAGTTTTGTACCAGTTGAAATGGTCAATGCTGCTTTTGACTTGGTCATTGAGGAAATCGAAAACGTGTCGGACAAATTTGATCTTGACGACAATATCACTCAAAAACTTGATGAGGTAGCCTCATACTTTCAGCGCACCTACATCAAATGCGAAACCATCGGAAGGAATTCTCGCAAACCTCTCTTGAGAAAGTGAAAAACATTTGCAACAATTTTAACAAAGATTCTATTTTAACATATTTGTATTCTCTCGCGCAATTAAGTCATTTCTAACTCAGTTTATTTTATCAAACTTTGTGAATTTTTCAAAAATTTAATTTAATTTCTAAAAAAATACACTTTTTGAGGTTCCCGTGGCCGTAGAGGGCTGAAATTTTGGGAGGTAATAGAGGCCAATACCAAAAGAATTTTACCTTCTCCCTCACCCCGCCCCCCAGTACCGCCTTGGCCTGGTACTGGGGGGTCTACTCCTCCTTTTGTGATCAACTAGTCAAACCCTCAGTAATTTTCGAATTTCATTCAAAATTTGACTTCTTGGTGATTTGATCTTTCGAACTTTTGATTTTCAAACACATGCATTATCCGCTACGCTATGTCGAGTTGATGTGATATGACTTTTGTTTGGTTAAGAAGTAGCCGCAACGCATTTCTATAGCAACATTGGATTAAAATTTCTGTTCGTTCATGCTTTGAATTCATTTCCATTTTGAACGCGCAAGTTTTACGTTGCTTTGATATTTTGTTCACGTGCGTCAATTATTCTTTGATCATAATTAATGGTTCTTTGATTTGTTCGGAAATATACTGTTTCGGATTCTTCAAGAGGATGGGGTAAGTTTCAATTGCTTTAATTATAGGGTAGAATGGTATAGGGTAGATTGGTATAGGGTAGATTGGTATGTAGGATAGAATAGTATAGGGTAGATTAGCACAGGGTAGATTGGAATAGGGTAGAATGTCATGGAACCTTGCCAATCGATGCATGCAGCAAATATTGTTCATTTCAAACTTACCACCACTTGACTATACATATATGGGTATCGGTACACTCCACGAAATCTGACAACCATCCAAATTGGGCCCTTTCAACACTACAATCTGCAGGACCACAGTTGGTCGGCTCCCCTACCAATTCGTCACTACCTAGTCCGTCGTTGCAGTCGTCCGCTCCATTGCACGTTTTCTCTTCGCTAATGCACCTGTGATTGCCGGCACAGCGGAACTCGTTATCTTCACATGGTTTATCTTTGTACTCGCAGTAGAGTTCGTCCGAGTTGTCTCGGCAGTTATCGTCGTAATCGCAGACGTTTTCGGTTCTGAAAGTATTGATTGAAAAATCTGGAACTACCATAGCAAAAATTCTAATATTTATTTGGTTGATAGTTATTAAAAGCTTATTCTAACAACTTTGCCTAACACCAGCATATTTTATTTGCCCACTACAATATGATACCATTGAAATAAGATATTACTGACTCTATTTACATTGGTTTCAAGGCTAATTCTATTGCAATCATTACCGGCAACAATTTTAAAATATTGAGCGGAATCAAGTACAAGCTAAATTCTGTAATTAATTGACCACAGTTAGTCAGCTGCCCGCCAATTCGCTATTTTCCTCCCTACTTCTAGTTTTCTAAAAAGTATATACCAGTTTTAATTTTGAAAATATTTATATGAAAAATCTATTGTAACAACTATTCGCTCGGCAATTCTATTTTTGGACAAAGTACACATTGCCTTATATCCGAATCAAAAAGTAACGAAAACTCACGGAATGCATCGTCCATTATGGCATTTAAACTCATCGTCTTTGCATGTTTTCATGGAGCACACATTTGCATTTTCATCTGCACCGTCAACGCAATCTTGCACTCCATCGCACACACTGCGGAACAGGATGCACTTCTGCGCAAATTCGCACGACAGGTGTGAGTGCTCACCACTACCCTGACCTTGTTCACAGTATTGGGTCTTGTTGCTCCAATCACAATACCCGTGAATTGTGCTGACCAGGTACTGGCTCAAGTGCGAGCAGGAACATACCGCTTTTCCATTATATACGCGACATTCATCCATACATCCTCCGTTGTTGATGTCACAGGGACTTGTTTCAGGACCTGAACAAAAAAAGTTTCAAGCAAATGGAATATTTTTCAGATAAAACAGTGAAGACCAGAAAAACGGGTGCTGAGACAATTCTTCAACCAGGTGCTGAGCACAGCAACAAAAACAATTGCAGCAGCAGATTTACTCCAATTTTTTGACATAGTTTGACAAAGACAGTTAGAATTTTCTTGCATAAGCAAAAGATAACAGAGATCTACATGACAATCAGTATCAGTTTTACGGCAGCTTTAAAAATTGCTAATTCCTTTTTCAACCAATCAGAACGCCAAAAGTTCATATTTCTCTATATCGGACACCAATTTTTTCAGATAGGGCAAGAGATGTTCTATGATAAGATGGAGTTTAGCAAACTAACATTGGACATCAGCGAGAGAAGTGAGTCTGAAATGTGTCTGAAGCTCCTGATACTGGATGACATTGGCCAGGGATCCAGCCACACTCAAGTCAATTCTCTGCACGGCATTGACCTGTGGATTAAAGAAGTACAGATAGTCCTCGTACACGTCCATTGAGTTGATAGGCATGAAAGTGTACAACTCATGCACAGGGTCGAAAGATGCTTCAGTGTTGTTCAGGTCGATTTTGCCAATGATTCCCCTGAAACCGAAAGAATCGAGGCTACAGCTGCCACCATTACCATGGAAATTGCCAAAAAAGCGGAAAGAAGAAAGTTTAGATAGTTTTCAAGACGCAGCTCGCTAATTGTTCTCAACCTGAAAACATTTTACCTTAAGGTATTTTGAAAAGTTTTCAAAGGCTTAGGCAAACATTGCCGACAGATATTAATTGAAAAGTACGGTACGTGGTGATGGTTTTGAGGTTTTTCTCGTAACAGAAAGATAAAATTATCTTACTTAACGCTGTCTGAATAGTAGAGCACCCTGGCAACTCTGTCAATGGCAAGGGAATCAATCATGCCGACATCCGCTCCCGAGAGAATAGTTTCGAAGTTACCGCCCATGTCACTCGCGCGCACAATTTTGTTCGGATTCTGAGATGCAATATAGATGTGCCTAGCAAGCGAATAACATATTACGACTAATGAGTTAAGTTATTTTTGACATTTTTTTCAACCAATTTATAATTAGAACAGATCAATAAACGGCAAACTGAATCTTGTCCATTCTCCACAACATTGGAAAACACGAAACCTAAACTTCAAAAGAACGATAGTCAGCGGGGATTCAACCAACTGCTTGTATCCAACCTTTATAGGCAAAAACTTTTCTCTAAATTACTGCAGCTACGCACGCTGTACAAAAATACAGATATCGAAAAGCAGCGAAGTCGCTTTAATCAAGCGGATATAGCTAACTCTTTTTAAATAAAGCAGATACGACTTCGCGCAACACTTGCACGATGAATTCTGTTATTTAGGATGGAAAAAGTGGACTCGTATTACAAGTCGTTTATTCAAAGGCAACAGCGTTAGCCCTAAGCCAAGTGGGAAGTAACCAGGAATATGTTGAGAGAAGAGGAGAAGGTAAACAAGAAAGGAAGAGTTTGTACGAAAAGTTGTTTACGGAAAAAAGTTAAGTTCGCTAGTGTGGTAAAGTTTACATTCAAAAATTACTTAGCGTACAACCCTTATTATGTAGCATTCCAATAAGCGATTTAGTTCGCTCGCAATAAAACGGAAATTAAGCCCAAGAAACTTAAAAGATACAGATGGAATACAGAATGATACAGAAATTTAAATCAAAAGCGATTTAAATACAAAAAGATGAAATATAATTTGAAAATGCCCCGGTTTTTTGACGGTTGCTAGTCGCTAATTTTAAGATCTGATGCGTAATATTTAGACATTGATGAATCAACGTAGCAAAAGCCGTACAACAACCAAAAAATCGTTTCAAAAAAATATTGTAACTGAATCGCCTTTTTGCAAATGGCATTCAGAATGTTATATTAAAACTGAACTTAAAAAAGAGAGTCAATGCTGCAGAAACAAAGCCAACTAAAACACAGAAACGATAGTGCGAAAAGCAGAAAGTTTCCAGATGGCAAAGAAGGGCTCCAGGCCTTTGCCGAATCGCGCATTGGTTTTACCTCTACGCCAGATATGCTGAATAAGTTAATTGAATTTGAATTTAAAATGTGCATGTTGAAACACCTGTAGCATTTACACGTGAGAGTTCTGCAAACAAAGTTCATTATGGGAAAAAAAGTCTAGTACCTGGTCGCATTACCCTGGCTTATTTTGCGTTGGACCAATATCTGTGATCAAAAAATTGTATGATACGAGCTCAGCAACTAGCAAACTTTTTCCTGAGTTTCAAATAGATAAAAATTTGCTTTTATTTACTTGTAGCAGAAATCGACGACGAAGTCATTCGCATGGATTCGGCTGATCACGAGATGCCGACTCTCCTTGATTCTGTCATTGCTCCTCTTGCCGTCATAGTACTCTATGTCTCCGTTTGCGCCCGCAATGTAGACGCGGATGTCTTCATGGTCCACCCGTACCCGATGGATCTCGTAGTCCAGTTCCAGTCTAGTCTCTTCGTCGTCTCCGTTTTCAGAAGAGATCGTTCTGATTTGGTTATCAACTGCAAAATGCTTTGTTTTTCACAACGGCATTAAAACGAAGTAAACAGAAAAAAACTTAAGCATATAAAATTTAAACTGATTGTAAAAATCCGACCTCAAACAATTTACAAAGCAAAATAAAAAAAATCAACAAAATAAAACATTTCACAGTCAAATTTTATCGATCGAAAATTGACATACTTGCGACATAGATGGTTTTGTGGGGACTGTGATATGACAGGTCACTGATGAAGCTCTGACTGTCGTTTCCTTCCAGCCTCATTTCAAAGACAGCTTCTTTAGAAGAGCCCTTGTTTGTAATTTCCTTCAAATCAAGGCCACTGCTTGTTACTAGATGGCTCTCAGGCTCTGGAAAAAAAAACAAAATCAAAGAAACAAAAAAACCATTATAATGTAGATAAACATTTGACATCCAAAAAGTTTTTAAAAAAATCACTTTTTAAAACTTCAAAAATTCGATTTACATTGTAGATCAGGAACTTCATCATTGATCCCAATAAATTAAATAAATCATTCAATAGAAGTTTGAGTTTATTGATTTCTATCTCAAATTTTACAAACGTTTTCAAGATTTTTCTTCTGAACATTTTTAACTTATTATACTGTCCTTTTCTGTACTATGCAAACTCTAAGTGTTGTAACCTGGGCAATCTTCGTCGACTTCCACTTTCAGGGCTTCATGGGCACAGTAACACGTGGGAGCACCCTCGACATCAAAGCAGAATTCGGTGCACACACTATTTCCGGTGCAAGCTGACTTGAACCCTGTCGGGTCCTCTGAAGCCGCAGTCGTCACACAGAAGTCGGACAATCCCCAGGGCGAGAAGTCGGCAAAAGTGGCGTCCGACTTCGTCCACGTGGCCAGGTCAATTAATTCGACTTTGTCCGACGACAGTCCGACATATAGACTTGAGTTAGTAGCAACAATTGATTTGACAGTAGCTGCGTCAAAAGAAACAGACCCCACGGCTGTCCATATGTCGTTTTGCAGACTTCGCTTCTGAAAAAAGCAGTATCAAAAGTCTGAGAGTGTTTTTGGATACAGCTTTTGACCTTAAACAACTAGCAACCACTAAAATAATCATCAAACTATAAATAAAACCAAAAGAAGCTTATATATATCAATAAAAAACTTGCATATTTTTGCAATAGTAAATACCTGTCTATTTTTGGCTAAAACATTTTAAAATGTTATATACCTCGACTGAGTCAGAGTATGCGATATAGATGTCTTCGTTATATCCAGTGAGATCTACCACAGTCTTTCCGCTGGTGAGAGAGATTCCTGTCTCTTTGTTAGAGGCATCCAAGTTGGAATAACCCAGAGTGTTGTCAGATAGCAGCCAGAGAAAAGTTCTATAAATCAATTAAAAACCTTAGTAAAGATCTTTCCAAATAGTTACTTTGTACTTCGCATGAAGATTCCTTACCATTGCGTGTAAAGCTCTCAATTTTAATTGGCTGAAAATTGCTACCTATCGCTTATTTAACATTCTCAGTCCTCAAGAAAGTATGCTCTTCAAGTTTTCATAATGGAAGAAAAAATCATAACTTTTATCACCCTGTTCGAGATCAGGCTCTAAAGCAACAAGATTTGAATGGTTTAAAAGGTTTTCTGAAAAAACCTTCAAGACAGCTCAAGTCTTGCTTGAAAACCGCTCAAAGGTCTTTCAATTTTTGTGTCGGTTTTTGAGGCTTTTCGAGGAAGATTTGAGCGGTTGGATTTAATCGTTGCCACTACATCGCTTAAAATTGAGATATTTGGGCCAAAAAAAAACAAATAAGACAATTCGGACGGAGATATTTCAGCCAATTAACCATTGCAGCAAAAATTTAAATAATTATCGAAAACAAACGGCATACGCCGCATAGGCAAGTAGTATACGTTTGCTCCGCTGCGCTTACATCAGGCACGAGATGAATAATGCGTGAGAATCAGAGTTTGTTTCTAATCTAGTTTTTTTCAGATGCCTCAAACTGAAATTGGCTGAAATTTCTCAATTTTAGATCGGCTGAAATGCCTGCCGTATTTTGGTTGAAAAGCCTAAATATAACTTTGTCCAAAATATCTCAACACGGGTTCAAATAGCCGATCAAACCATTGAAAGGCCCACAAAAGGCAAAGTGACTCTAGGAAGCAGTTGAAATACTTCCTACAACTCGACCCTGTACCTATTTGGGGATACATGCAGACATATAATCATAGATATAACACGCCATAAATATGTAGCATATATTCATATATACTAAACATACATACATACATTTAAACGTACACGCCCCTTATAAAGGAACATTTCAGCTTTAAGCATATATGAATTTTCTACATTGTAAAAATTAACAAATCTTACCCTCCAATGGGAGAGGCAGTTATAAGAGGCAATTATAACTCCTCCTTCACCTTGGAAAATAGTGCGGAGCATTTATGATTTTTGGGAGGTTTTTTTGTTCAGTCAGTTTTTGACTTTTTAACTAAGCATTTTTGACCGAATTTGGTTTACACTATCTGAAAAATATTGTTCTCTGGAGCTCAAATTTGAAAAGTTATTTCACCTGTGATCATTTTTCGTCAAGTTACGGTGGTTTGAAAATAGCTAATTTGGCAAATTTGAGATAATTAACATGGAATGTGGATGATAAAATGAAGGAAATTATGAAACAAAAATTTTCCCTTTTTTCTATTATTTCGTCATTTATTCGACAAAAAAAACTTTTAATTGGCCTTTAAGTGCAGACAGAACATTCAGGGCCTCGCCCTGATATCCGAGCAGTCTTGTTCCAAACCGAATTGAGACCAGCAGACTAGTAATTTTGAAGCAATACGAGACGCTAAACAAACCCTTGGTATTTTACATTGAAATGGAGAAAAAAACAGTTCTTAATTTTCGAGCAGTCCTGTTTGTTTAAGCGCGATCAGCTTTTACACACGGAAAATTACAAAATCGCAAAATTAGGGCGGAATAAAAAATACATGACTCCTCGTATCAAGGCGAAGCCCTGAACGTTCCGACTGCCTTTTAAGGTCTATGAAGCAGTAATAGCATGAAAAAAATTGAATGTAATCAGGGGCGGATTTAGGGGGGAGGAGGGCGGGGGGAGGGCTCGGGGGGGGGGGGACGGACGCTTTTCTCTTCTCAGGGATTCGACCTCCTGCCGACCCAAAGAGTCCCTCTTTGGTACTTTTTAAGAAACAGATTTTTGGCCGACCGACCCTAAAATTGTTCTAAAGGCGCCTTTGGCGCCAATATATACCAATTTTTGAGCGGGGAGCGCGCGCCAAAAAAACGTGATTTTTTGATCGAAATTTTCCAAAAAATGCCGAAAAGCGCCTTTTTTGGCTTGTTTTTCAAAATTTTTGCCTTAGCCTGCGGCGCAGAAATTTCGGCCAAAACAGGGTCTTTTTAGTGCTTTGGGAGAGCTAAAAAAATGTTTGAAAATCCGCCCCTCTCGAGAAAATCCTAGATCCGCCCCTGAATGTAGTAAAAACATGACTGCTCGTATCAGGGCAAAGCCCTGAATGCTCTGACTGCCCTTTAAGGTTTATGGAGCAGTAATTACATTTGAAAAAATTAAATGAAATAAAACAAAATGAAAAACCCACCACACGCCATATAAAGTACAAAAGAATAGATTTCGCTCCTTGTAACAAATCAATTATGGCAATTTAGTTTCTTTCATAAGTATCCTTAACAAATTAAATGTAATAACATAAAATAAAAATATATTTTTTTCTAATGTTTGAAATTTTTTCTATGAAAATCATCCCCCCATTTAAGGACAAAAGAATAGCTTTGTAACCAATCAATTATGGCGCATAAGCTTCTTTCAACCAAATTGGAACGATTTTTAAGACGGATTAAATCTCCGCTTACGCGTTAATAGCGCGAAATACATCGCGCGTTAATGGTCCAAATTGGCAATCTTTAAACCCCCCATAACATTCCGAAAACGATCACAGGTGAAATATCTTATCAAATTTAAGCTCAGGACAACAATATCTTTTGAATGATATAAAAAAACCGTCAAAATGGCTAGTTAAAAAAGTCTAAATTTTTTTGAAGAAAAAAACCCACCCCGAGCACAAATATTCCGTTTTTTTTTCGTAACGAAAGTCGGAACGATAACCAAAACATGGTAAAACACTTGCCCTGAAATTTAAAAAAATAGAACCGACAACTAAGCGGCATATACATCGACATGAGAGCTATTCTTACGACAGAATTGTCGAAGGGGAAAAACCATCAAGTCGAAGCCTTGAGATTGTCCCAAAAACTATTGACTAATATAACATTTTGTTTCTTCGGTATTTTGGCCACAAGGGACTCCTCGAAGTGCTCTTACTGTTTGAGAGTGAGCAGAGCGACTACTTCGGGGCCTCCATTGCTGCCTTGTATGAGTTCAATCCTCTGTTGGGGCGAAGAAACATTCATGGCCTCCAGAGTCCAGTGGCTGGAGTAGTGGTTCGCGAAGTACAGATAGTCTAAAACAGACTGGTAAGACAATGAAATGAGTATTTAAAAAAATAAAAATTAAATATGATAACCAGGAGAACACGATACGATGCTAAAATTCATGTCATCACACATTTTTGAAAGTCAGATTAATTTTAGAATTTTTTTTGAAAATTGGTGAAAATTATTTTTGACAAAATAATTTCTATGTTCCATGAGTTTATTGGAAATTAATTTGGATATTTTTTCTCATTTAGACCACATATTTCGAACTATCTATATGCAATTCATGATAAATCCCATTAATTTTTTCTTTGAATACAAAAATTTTCAATGAAAAAAAAACATTGAATACATTGTGATTCAGATCAAAAGGGGAAAAGTTCAAAAGTTTTCAGTCAAATCAAAACTAAATTTGAAACGCGATTACTCACCAAGATGAGGATCGTGTGTAATCTGAGTGACTCCGTTAATTCCGATGCCCTGGTCTGTCAGCACTTTGCCCATTGCGTCCGAGGGGGAGGCAGCCATGATGGCCCAATGGAGGTACATTGTGTTCTTAGTCACGAAAAACTGTTTCTTCTGGTCTTCAGAGCCCCAAAAGGAACACGTCAGCGTGGTTATAGCTTCGCCTAAAATATTCACTTTTTCTAAGACATAAAATAATCTTTTATACAATCTTTTTTGAAGTTCTTCTCCACACGCTATATATAACAAGACTGCTAGTAACAGGCGAAGCCCTGAAAGTTCCGACTACCTTTTAAGGTTTACGGAGCAGTAAAAACATAAAAAAATAAATATAATAAAAAAAATGAATTTTTTTTCTCTAAAATTTGAATTTTTTTAATGAAAATCATCCCCCCACACGCCATATAAAGTAAAAAAAAAGAATAAATTTCGCTCCTTGTAACAATCTAATTATGGCAAATAGGCTTCTTTCAACCAAATTGGAACGATTTCTAAGACGGAGTAAATCTCCACTTTTGCGTTAATAGCGCGAAGAATATCGCGCGTTAATTGTCCCAATCTGGCCAAAATGGCAATCTTTAAACCCTCATAACTTTACGAAAAATGATAACAGGTGAAATATTTGTTTTTCAAATCTAAGCTCAGGACAACAATACCTTTTGAATGATATAAAAATTCCATCAAAAACGGCTAGGTAAAAAGTCAAAATTTGTCTGTAGAAAAAACAAATACCCCGAGCACAAATATTCCGTTATTTTCGTTTCGAAAGTCGGAACAATAAATTATTTTGCGTCTAGTAACGTATTGTAAAGACCAAACCAATTGCTTCGATTCAATTGGTACTGCTTTCTCAGCCGGAGTATATTCCCACTTTGAGGTTTTATACGTCAATTATATCAAATTATCAGAATTCATAATTTTTGAAGCCCCAATATATTTTTTAAACGAACGCAGGTGACACTTTTTTTATTACATAGCTTAAACTAAATTAGAACATTAGACAAAACTGCTTGTTTTAAAAAGTCAAAACTTGTCTAAAGAAAACAGTCTTCCACATACAGTCTTCCAGTTTTTTCAACAATAGGAAGAACACTACTGCTTAGCAGAATAAAGCGTGTTTGATGTTGTTATTTTCGCACAGAAAAATGAAATTACCAAAAAATTAAAAATATCTTTTTTTTTGTGGAAACCTGACTGATTTCTGAGCCTGATTATTTCACCGCCATGTTTTTGCGTTGATAGAAAATCGTAAATTCAGCAACCCATAATTATTCTGAATTGGCAATTTTCGAGCCTTTTTATTTTTATGAAATCATAAGGTGCGACACATATTTTAAAATAACTATCTTTAAATAGCTCGACCCCACTTTTTTATTAGTCTCGAGCTCTGGCAGCATACTTACTATCACTTTTGAAGGAACTAGCAGGAAGCTTCCGTCCTTCATTTGAAAATTAGTGCAGCGCAGTGAGGTTGGGCCAATTAGCATTCAACTGGCTCAACATAATTTCTTTTCATTTTTCGAAACCATATTATTCAGCGGCATTATGTCAACGAAGTGAGAAAAAAAACTGAAAATTTTTAATTCAACTTCACTGCTTTTCGAATACAGTATCATTTATTTTTGTCAATACCTCAATTTTTTTCGAATTGAACGAATACAAAATAAAAACCCAATATTTCTTTAAAAAATGATCAAAGGTGACATTTAGATTATTATATAGCTCAAATTAAAAAAAACATTCTGGTTAAAAAACTGCTCAAAACTTCTTGTTCAAAACATAAAAGATAGCCAACTGATAGTTTGAAATGAGTAAGGAACGCAAGTAAACCAAAAAACACTATTTTGGTCGAAAAATCCCAACTTTCGAATTTCAAAGAAAAAAATAGATCCCCTTTAACCTCTTTGATTTTTTAAAACAATTTACGATTGGCGCTTTTTTTGATAACATTCACCCAATTTGAGAAAACTGGTGGTAATGAAAAGTAATATGAAAATTAGTGCGTAGAAACGTATTAATAGTTTCCAATAGGTAGCTTCAAATCCAATTGGAACTATTCTAAATTGCCGCCGTTATAAAACCAAAAACATTGAGCGTTAATTGTGCCAAGCTGGCCTATTTTCAAACCCCTACAACTTCACGAAAAATGATTACGCGTGAACTAGATTTTTGATTTCGAGCACAGGGCGTCAAAGGAACAACTTACAGATGGTAACAAAACTCCATTCATAAGTGAGTATTGAAAAGTCGAAATTCGTCTCAAGAAAAAACTACAGCGTATTCCACCCTTTCTTCGAAAGTATTCCACCCTTTCATCGAAAGTTGCAACAAAAACAACAAATATATGCAGCATGCAAAAAGTTGGATTTCAATTGTCTAAGTGAATGATTTGCTCCATAGTTTCTGTATTTCGTCAACAAGACCTGATCTCCTACCTCTTGCTTCAAATAATGTAAACGAGTAAACATGATTGTTTGATTTTCCAGAATCAAGTGGGAATTTACTATTGACTAAGATCATGCGAACCATAAAATTAGACAGAATGGCATAAAAAGGCACAATAGTTTAAAATAGATTTTTGGATCCAATTCTGAGCTCCACAATTTGAAATGGAATATTTTACAAGCAGAAGCTTATCGATGCATATACCAATAAGCCGAGCTTCTATCTAAGAAGACCCCACGTCTCCCTCCCATTCCAAAGCAAAAAGCAAAGTTAAGATTGCAACAAATTTTTACCAGCAGATGATTTCAAAACGCGGCTTAGAAAAAAGAAAACGAAAAAAATATATACTATTTTGAAGACAAAGATTTGATCCAATAACCAAAAAAAACACATTGACTCAATAATTCAAAGAAACAAACAGATTGATTCAATAATCCAAAAAATGCAATTACCCATTGAGGAGGATAATACGCCAGTCATTCATAATTCCACAGGAAAGCCGCTTCTGAATTACCAGCTGTGAACCGAGCATACCTTGTCCAAGCATACCTTGACATCTCCGAGCATACCTTGACATATGTAAGTAGGCCACGTACATATGTGACCATTACCAATTACGCTTTGCGTATCTGGGAAAAAAACACGAGGTAAAAAAATTGCATGCATGGAACAAAAACCTTAATTACATATGATTTTTGAAAAATTCATGTAATTACTTCTTAATAAATGTCTTTAAAATATATGCTCGAAAAGACCAAATTGGCAGAACTGGTATTTTTGGTGCTCTCCCAAAAACTGTCTTTATTTTTTAAGCGGGCTAATGCAGCAACCACTAAGCCGTTCTTATAACTAAGTTGTAATTTGTACGGTAAGTGAAGTGCTTGCTTATTTTCTTGTTGGTGACCATTTCAACACACTTATTACATGTGCTGATGGAACTGGCTCTGTCCTGTCTGTCTATAAACACTGACCCATTCAGCCAAGAGGTGATGCCGAAAATGCCGGTCATGTACAGCAGACTCTTCTTCATCATCGGCACACAGCGCTTCGGCCAAACGTAACTGAGAAAATAGCTGTCAAACAAGCTATTCCGCGCAAAAAGGTTGAATTACACTTTGAGGATTAACAGGAAAAAATGTGTTATCAAGTCGAACATGCATTTAGGCAATGCACTCTATAGCAAGACCACATGAATTTCAAAGTTTTACGCTATTAGCAGGGGTGGATTAAAGGGGGGGGCTTAGAAAAAAGAAAACGAAAAAAATATATACTATTTTGAAGACAAAGATTTGATCCAATAACCAAAAAAACACATTGACTCAATAATTCAAAGAAACAAACAGATTGATTCAATAATCCAAAAAATGCAATTACCCATTGAGGAGGATAATACGCCAGTCATTCATAATTACACAGGAAAGCCGCTTCTGAATTACCAGCTGTGAACCGAGCATACCTTGATCAAAAATTTTATTTAACGATTTGCTCGGTTCACAGCTGGTAATTCAGAATCGGCTGTTGAATATTGAATGACAAATGCTGTTTGTATCATCCAGGGGCGGATTTGGGGGAGGGGGCACATTAAGCATCAACAATCCATTCGAATAACCATAAAAACTCCGCTTCATCTCAAGGTTCTCAATGATTTGGAAAAACGGCTTGGTTTTTTAAATTATATTTTAATCAATTTCTTTGTTCAGTTTTTCAAACTCTGAATCCATTTTGTAATAACTATCTTTAACCAGCTCGTCCACACTTTTGTCTGTAGTCTCGATCGCTGGCAGCACACTGACTATCACTTTTCCAGGAACTAGCCGGAAGCTTCCGTCCTTCATTTGAAGATGAGTGCGGTGCAGTGGGATTAGGTCAATTAGCATTCAACTCGCTCAACTTACAATTTAATTGTATTTTTTATAACCATGTCATTAAGCGGCGATATGTCAACAAGTTAGAGAACAGTGAAATTTATCATCTGGATTTCACTGCTTTTTGAATATATCTTCAAATATTTTTGTTGATGCCTCAAGTTTTTAGATATATAGAGATACAAAAGAATTATTTTAAAGTAGGCCACGTAAATTAAACAGAGCAAGAATGCCCACAAAGAAAGCTGATGTAAAAAAAATGCTTTTGAAGTTCCGGGGGCAACCCCCCAGCACCGCTCTCATCATGATAGAGATGATGATTAATCTCTACCTTGAGTCTGGGCTGAAGTGTAGATACGACCACTGGCATCAATTTGATGCCCCCACACTGTTTGGCCATGTGGAACGCCCCCTTTTTGAAGGGCAACAAGTGACTACCTTTCATGTTTCGAGTACCCTCGGGGAACACAACTATTCCTGAAGAGTAGCACACGGATCAAGCAGGCATTTCAAAAAAAAGTTTTTACCGATGAGAGGAATGCTTTGAATGCCCCATATCATTAAAATATTACTATGTCAAAAACTTCTCATTTTGTCAATAAATATCAAAGGCGTTTTTGCTCCATGAGTGAAAAATGACTCAATTGCTGCCAAAAAATTCGTGAACGCCCACTGTGGTACCAAAAACGCAATGATTTAATTTGAAGATTTGGTTTCATCTTAGTTTTCAAATGCAACGAAAGGTCAACATTACAAGTTTTGTTGAATAATAATAATAGGTCAAAAGATTCCAGGGGAACAATTTTTGCTGTTAATTATGCTCACGATAGGGGAGCTGGACATATGTGACGATTGCTATTTAAGCTTTGCTTATCTGGGAAAAAACACGAGGTAAAAAAAATTGCATGCATGGAACAAAAACCTTAATTACATATGATTTTTGAAAAATTCATGTAATTACTACTTAATAAATGTCCTTAAAAATATTTGCTCGAAAACACCACATTGGCAGAACTGGTATTTTTGGTGCTCTCCAAAAAATGTCTTTATTTTTTAAGCGGGCTAATGCAGCAACCATTAAGCCGTTCTTATAACTAAGTTGTAATTTGTACGGTAAGTGAAGTGCTTGCTTATTTTCTTGTCGGTGACCATTTCAACACACTTATTACATGTGCTGATGGAACTGGCTCTGTCCTGTCTGTCTATAAACACTGACCCATTCAGCCAAGAGGTGATGCCGAAAATGCCGGTCATGTACAGCAGACTCTTCTTCATCATCGGCACACAGCGCTTCGGCCAAACGTAACTGAGAAAATAGCTGTCAAACAAGCTATTCCGCGCAAAAAGGTTGAATTACACTTTGAGGATTAATAGGAAAAATGTGTTATCAAGTCGAACATGCATTTAGGCAATGCACTCTATAGCAAGACCACATGAATTTCAAAATTTTACGCTATTAGCAGGCGTGGATTAAGGGGGGGGGGGCGGATGGCCCCTTCAGGGATTCGACCCCCGCACCAATCAAAGGGTATTATTTTACGACATCCATTTTCGACGGAACAACCTTCAAATTTTCTAATGGCGCCATAAAACTAATTCTGAAAGAAAGCGCGCGCCGAAAGGGGAGCGGTGGTGAAGTGGTTACGACTCTGTCTCTAAATTGGAAGGTCGGGTGTTCGAGGCCCACCATGATTATTGCTCGTTGCTTGAGGGTGAAGCAACAATACCCAGCCCAGAAAAATAACCAAAAAATTGCATGTAGTTCTTAAACAGGGGCACAACAGCGGTTCGCCGCGGTGAGCTGTACAGCTCTTATGTTGGTCCTTTCCACCGTCGATAAATAGTCTTAAGTGATTTTCAATTTGGACCTGATTTTTCAAAAATTTGACTGCGGAGTAAAGTTTTCTGTGAAAATAGGGTTTTTAGAGAATTGCGGGAGAAATCAGAAAACCAATTTGGTCGACCTAAAAAAAGTCGACAAATCCGACGCCCGTGCCCCTTGAGAAACTTCTACATCCCCCTGGCTATTAGCACTATTACATTCGAGGTCTTTGCCATAAAATGGTATCAAAACACTGATGCTCCCCTGAGCTCCCCCATACTAGCTTCGCACAAAAACTACTTGAATATTTTCCAAATATCAAAAATGGTATCATTTTCAAAACTTGCAGGCAGAGTAGTATTCATGCCTAAGTGTAAAAATAATCGAAAGAACGAAATCTTTTCACATAGATGTGCGTGACCCAACCTTTGATGATTAGGCATGAGAATGAAGGAATGATCAGAAGGAATATTTTCACGCCCTCTCACTTCGACCTTGAAAGGCCACTGAAGAAACAGTCGACATGACCTCGATAAGGACTTATGATAGTATAGGTGGCACTTTTCTAGAATACTGTATGACAAGGATACGTTTGATTTATGACTACTAGTTCGTATCTGATCAGCTAAACTAAATCTTAAAGATTTCTGTTATGAAAAATAAGTGGGAGTGTAATTTTATTTTCTAACTTTCAAGCCGATTGAAATAAGCGTTGCAAAGATGATATTTTGATATCTGAAAATCAGATGGCTCCCTCAAGATAGATTTCTTTAATTCTTCGAAAACAGTTTTTGCAGTACTTAACTCGGATTTTCGAGCTTTTGATAAAAAATGGATGGGGATCTACCTCACATACTTGCCTTTTCTACGAACTTTCACACGGTATAATTTAAAAAGTTCCAAAAAGAGCCTAAAACGTCTTTTTGTCATGTTTTTTAAGGGTTTTTATGCTCATTTTGTAGGTTTTTGAAAATTCCTCCTCGAAAAAACCTAGATCCGCCCCTAGTCATAGTTGTACCAATCTTGCCACTTATTCTGCCATATCACCTCAACATCCATACAGCCCCGGCACAGTTGTCCGGGTTGCGAGGTCGTATCAGTCCGAGGATGAACATGCCGAAGCATCCGAACCCGAGAATAACGTTGAGGAACAGAGAGTAAGACACAAAATAGATAAAATGGAATTTAAGCCTCGTTTTGAGCACTACTACGAGGAAAAATATCAGAGCTAAAAAGTATAAACAATAATAAAGAAGCATGATCGAGTCTGAAAAGGATAAAAAATCTTTGAAGCACTCGTTAAAAAATTTTACCTGCTAGGCATTTAACTCAGAACAGGTAAATATTTAAACAACATTAATTGACAAGGAAAAGGAATTCAACGGAGAATGAATGACTAAAACAGAGCTATGTATTGGGAAAAGTTGAATTAAGTTCAAATGATGATTTTTGACACTTAGATGTATGATCCTGAGTAATGTATAAATGTGATTGTGATTATTATATTTTCTGACCGATGATTCGATATGCTACTAAACAGGTGGGTCTAATCGTAATCAGGGCGATTGCTAACTAAGAATCAATTTAATAGCCATACGCTTTAGCGCATCTACGTATTAACTTGAGCGCTCTCGAATCTGTTGGTTGGTGTCTATTGAAGTTCAGCTCAAACTTCAACGTAATCGTAAGCTAAAGATGGCCGCAAGATTGTTGAATTAACGAAAGCATTATTCAATCGAAAGGATGTCTTGTGTACAGATCCGAGTGAATTATCCAACTTGATTTCTACAGAGCTTCAATCGCAAAGTTTGATAGGTTTCACTTTAATTTAAAAGCTTCAGCTTTTCGATTGTATTTTTTCAACACAAGAAAAAAAAATGTTTCCTTTTATTCTATTCAATTCTCTCAACTGAAAAAAATCTCCATAAATATTATTTTTCAATTTATTTGATCGCAAAACCGTCCGGATCAAAAAGTTTCCATGTTGCGTAAATTTTTTGCTATATCATTTATTACAACGAAAACATGTTGATTTTAAGTCTGCGTGTAAAACTGGTCATTCCAAACAATAGTTTTTCAACAAAAAGTAAGTGCTTAACATAATCCCACCAACAGAAAAACCACTAAAAAATCACGGAGAGCTAGTTCTTACATATAGAAACAAGACGGCTCGTATCAGGGGAAAGCCCTGAATGTACTGACTGTCCATAAACTGGTCTAGAATGGTTTTTGTTTAATGAAATATTGACAATGAACACTATGAATTTTAAGCTGAATTTTGAGAGTCGTGTATGGAACTAGTGGCTCTTTTCCAGTTTACCGGTAAAAAAGTAACAAGACTGCTCCTATATCAGGGCAACGCCCTGAATATTCCGTCTGTCTGTTAATTCATATCTAACAGTTTTTGAGAAAAGAAAATATTGAAAACCTATAAATTTTGGTCAACATCAAAGTGTGAAATTTTGAGTCGTATGAAATTGATACGACCGATCCGATTAGCCTCAATTCAATTTGGAACAATTTTGTTGCGTGGGATGATTCGCCACGCATAAACAATTCGCGTTACGCTCTCACCGTCATGAATAAAATCTTCGAAACGCGCATAATTTAGCCATGAACACGGCCAATTTGGCAATTTGTGAACCCCAAAACTTTACAAAAAAAATGATCGGAGGTAAAATATATATTTAAATTTGAACTCAGGACGTCAATATATTCAATGGAGTATAAAAAATTTTAGATCAAGTTACCATCCTCCTCCCCAAATAGACCAAGTAAGACCCTCCACCCCGGCGTTGAATTTAAATTAAATTGATAAGCGCTGCGTGTAAAATGCTCTATTCGGATTGGCTGAAAAATCAAGCTCAGAACCAAGTTAACATCCTCCCCCCTAAACGGATTTGAAGGGGGGGCTGGAAAATGTTTACTTGGTCCAAAATTTGAAAACTATTAGTTCGATCGGCGAAAATTGACTGAATAAAAAAACCACACCGAGCAAAAAAATTCCGTTTTTTTTTCTCGAAAATCGGAACAATTATGGCTATTAAATTTCCTTCAACCAACTTGAAACGACTTCTAGGACGGATAAAATCTACGCTTACGAGTTCTTAGCGCAAAATGGCGCTCAGACAATTCGGCCTAAGTTAATTCAGCCAATTTGAAAGTCAGACAATTCAGCCAAAAGTATACTGACAATTTAGATTGAGACATTTCAGCCAGTTTTACAAAACGTTAAATTCGAAAGAAAAAATCGGAATTGAAGTTATTCCTCGGTTTAAGGTCGCCGGAGGGCGCGCTAGGCGCGTGGCGCTTGGCGGCGATAACCGGCTCTAAACTTCGTATAGAGTCCTACCCTCTGTTGGCAAGCTCGCAACACGTTGGCACGTCTGCGGCGGTCTCTTTTTTTTTGGCTGAATTGTATCTGGTTGAATTATCTGCATATTTTTGGCTGAACTTCAGAATTTAAAATTGATTGTCTTTGGCCGAAATGTCTGGACGCGCCCGAAATATATCGCGCTTTCATTGTCCTAAATTGGCCAAAATGGCAATCTGTAAACCCCCATAATTTTACGAAAAATGATCACAGGTGAAATATATTTTTTTCAAATTTAAGCTCAGGACAACAATACCTTTTGAATGATAGAAAATTTCCGTCAAAAATGCCTAGGTAAAAAGTCGAAATTTGTCTGTAGAAAAAAAAATCTACCCCGAGCACAAATATTCCGTTACTTTCGTATCGAAAGTCGGAACAATAAACCTTCATTTATTGAATTTCAAAAAAAATTTAAAGGGGCACTGGAATAGAACCGACAAACGTAATTACAAAAGCGCTGTCATACTTTGATGCTCAAAGTTAAACGCGCTTTATTTACGCGTGGCAAATTATCCCACACTACAAATTTGTTTCAAGTCCCATTAAGGCAGGTTAATTGGTCTTATTGTTCCGACTTTTGTTTTTGCAAGGAAAATAACGGAAAAAATGCGATTTTTTGGACAAAACTTTAAACTAGAAATGTGCATTTTTTCAATCGCTGTCGAAATTTAATTAATCTTAAACAAAAAAAAAATCAGAAAATATTGAAAAAAAACCATCGGACCAATTAATTTTAAGAAGCTGCGGTAATATTGGTGCTAGGTATTTTAGCGGACCGGTTTTTTAGCAGACAGGTTTTTTAGCAAACAGGTTTTTTAGCAGACACAGAACATTTATAAAATGTGATAGCTAACTTTAAACGCGGCATTGGCAATTAGCAACCGCTTGTTCCGCTGCGCTTCAATTAAACACGAGTGTAATTGTGCGCGTAAACTTTTGCTTTGCCGCTAATTTAGACAGTTGTGTTTTTGAAGTTGATAGTTTTATTGACAAATCGCGAGATAATTGTCTTAATTGGGAAAGCTTAGCCCCAGACTGAGCGCGTCTTTTTGAGTCTGTCTGCAATTAAACACGAGTGTTATTGTGCGCCTAAGATTTTGCTTTGCCGCTAATTTAGACTGTTGTGTTTTTGAAGTTGATAGTTTAGTTGACAAATTGCGAGATAATTAACTTTATTGGGAAAGCATGGCCCCAGACTGAGCGCGTCTTTTTAAGTCTGACAATCAATCATCCATCACTTTATTACGTTTGTCTGCTAAAAGACTCATTTTTCACTTTTTATACTAAAAGATTTGTCTGCTAAACGATCGGTCCCCGGTAATATCTAATAATAAAATTTTGGTGCACTGAATAAGGTGAATATTTGGCGCTATCATTACGTAGCCAGCAGAAATCTGTTCACACTTACATTTTCAGTGTTTTGGTAATATCTAACCTCTTATTGTTTAGTCACTTGGCTGTATAGCTACTAAGTTCAGTGGTATACAAACCAGCCGATTTCTAAACGACCCGACGTATCAACCAGCCGAAAGTACATAGGTGCTATAAAAGTTATGCAACAATTATGTAACAGTTACAAAAGTTTTGAAAATTTTGTTCAGATGATGTAACTTTTCGGCTTTTTTATATACTCTGTGCACTTTCGGTTGGTTTATACTTCGGCTGGTTTATGTACTACTCTCATAAATTCAGTCACAGTACAGGCTGTATTAGTGCTATTGCCGCTCAACGAATTAAAGACACATGCTAGCGTGGAGACGACGGTAAAGGGCTACAACTATTCAAAAAGGGCTATAAAGAAACAGACCTAAGTTTTCAAACAAAAAAACCCTATCCAACAGCCAATTCAAATGTTTTCGATGAAGTGTTTTTGGTAAAATAAATTGATAAACTTTCCGAAAATTTTTTTTTCTCCGCAAATAATTTTAATTGTGATTTATCTGTGCTTAATCGACCAGATTATTTCGGCGCGTCAGCATTATTCATTGGTGACTTATGATATCCAGTATATGTGCAAGGAAACAAAAACGCGCCGTCAATAGTAATAATTTCAGCCAAGGTTTTTAAAAAACATAAAAAACGGTACTAATATGATAGAGTTGTCCCTTAAAAAGCAGATATTATATACAAGTCCCGCATGCATTTTTTTGTGTAATAGTTTTGAAAATTGTTGTTCCGTGCTGATTTAAATTACCCCGACAAATTGGACAATACTTGAAACTTCAAACGCGTTATGTTGAGTTTCTTTAAAAATTCGGAGCTAAAAAGGTATCCCAAAAAATTGATCATTTTTGGCTTCTTTTAGTCAATCTAAAATAACGCTAAATCTAATGAGTCAATTGATGAGCAAGTTATATCAAAGTGAGCCTAATACAAAGCCCAACAAAAGTTTAGGAGTGTATGTTTTTATTTGATATCCAAAAAAATGTCATGTTTACTAGTCAAAACTCCAAATAGTTGGAAGTTATACCCTTCAAAAAATTTGTTGGGCTAAATATGAGGCTAACTGTGATATAAACTGCTCATTAGATATAGAGTAATTTTTGATTGACTAAAGGATGCCAAAGATGACCCATTTTTTAGCATAAAAAAATTCCCAAAACTCGCATAAAAATTGCACCATAATACTTTTGGTAATTTAAACAACTTTGGTGCAGTTCATTTTTTGTATAATCTCAACCCAATTTGAGAAAAACGCGTTTAAAAATTCATATTTTGTACGTTTTGTCCGGATAATTTAAATCAGCACTGTATATCTATAAAATATTCATTTCAAAAATCTCGCGCTAGAACAAAATTGGGACATACTTACTAGGAAATGCCATGTAATGCAATGTCTTTTTTATGGGAGAAGTAAAACCGGAGCACTTTTACCTTATTTACGTCAAATTGACTTTTTTCTCATTTTACACAGTTTTCTGCTCATAAATTTCAAAAAAAGATGCCAAATGCGCTTTTAAATGTCGTTTGATTCGCACATTTTGCCTTGTTTAAGCTTGATTTACCGTTCAGGAAATAAGCCCTGCTTTTATAAGTAAAACCTGTCTAATTTTGTGGTTCAATTTTTCTTTTCCTTTTCCACCATATAGTGGAATATAACAAAAAAACGGTAATTACTCTATGTTTTACATCAAGAAGTAAGCCCGCTTCAACTTATTTAACGATTGCACAACCACAATTGGGTTAAATTATTTGTCATCAAACTTTAAGTATCCTTTTCTCAAGAGACCTGGTTATTTTCAAGGTGCCACTCTATTATAGTAGTACCAAAAATATCACCTGCTGTTTTAATATAATTAACGTCTTTTTTCTTTGATGGTGATTGGGTATTAAATTGAAACTTCGTGCAATACCCAAAAACAATTATAAAAACAATAGAAAAGAACTGTAAAATCATTTGGTAGTACATCACCTCTTCCCTTATTTAAGCCGTAAGTTGGTAAAAGGACTGAATATCGCTTTTTTTGTACTGATTTCCTTCAACTATGACAGAAATTTTGAGTTACCTTATTTGGCATCAGAATCAAGACTGAAGATAGCCTCAATAGGTTATCAAACATTGAACTAAATCTATTGTATTTGAGGCACCCAATATCGCTACAAAAACTCTCTCCCAGCAATTTTTTTCTACAAATGTTTTAAAGAAATATAGTGCAGCAAATAAGTTATATTTAATTAGAAATTAGGCAATTTTAACCCTTAACTTATCGAAGGCAGGAAAAATTATCGAAGGCAGGTAAGTTATATTCAAAATTAAACTATAGCAATTGGGTTTTTTACAGGTTTAAAAATTTATCAAATGATTTGCCATTCGATCCGAATGCATTGCAATTTTTTTCGGAAAAAAAAGAATGCAACATACACCAAAAATATCAAAAAAGAGCTTTATCTGCAAGGAGAACCAAAAACTGAAGGGTAAAAAAGTTCTGAATTTATTTTAACATTTCGAATTGACGAGCATGATACATAACGATCAGAGTTTTCGTGACAACTGAAAAGCCGCGAAAATCATGACACTTTTTCGGTGTCAGAATACAGACTATAGATTGAACTAAGGAGACAAATTCACAATTTGCGATGGATTGATGATCGCGGAAGAGAAAGAAGCCTTCCAACCGATTGCAAAAATCACGATTTGCAATCGATTGATGATCGCGGAAGAGAAAAATGCCTTCAAATCGGGAAGGTTTGGAACAACCATAGTAACCCTTCCTGGTGGCGAAGAAGACGCTTCATTAACGAAGACTAAGATATCGGAAGGGTCTGTCATTGGACTGCAGAACTGTTTTATAACAATATCTTTTAGCTCTCTGGACATTTCCAGAAATTAATTTAAATAACAACTAATTTCTTTTTCAGGATTTGAGGGGCTCTAGGAGTGGGGAAAGGATCGATCTACCTCCGATGGATGGGGTGATTTTCTCTAACTGATCAAAAACAATAGTCACTCAAGAATAATCATGAAGTAGCCCTGTTTTTATGAGTGACCTCGTGCTCTGTGGATGCTGCGACCCAGCCATGAGCTCACTGATTTTGCATGTAACTAGTTAATTTGCATAGTTCTGCCGATAGCCTGTAAACGGTAACAAGTTCGTTCACCCGATTCTACGAAAGACCACTTTGAACTGGCTCTGGTGGAAACGGTTAAAAGAACGTGAGGCTTTATCTTGACGCTAGCCAATCGTTATAGGATTTAACCTTACTTTCAATCGTTATGTACTTTCCGGATGAATGTTGGTACATGCGAGGGAAGACTCATATTCATTCACTCGTGTAATTTTTAGTCTAAAAACAGACTCGAAATCAAACCAGTTGTTCTCGACATTGAGAAAATTTCCCATAAAAAACGATTGTCGTCTTAGCAGCTGTCGCCAGGTTAGCCGGAAACCACTCAACCGATTACTTATAGAAAAACCCTCTCAAGCTCTCAATCCATTTAAAAACGCTCGAGGCATCTAACTATTTTCATGACGCTCTTTTTAAATGACATTCCATAACTGACCTTCAAGTGTGACGTATGCATCTGCTGATACCGGCGAAAACCCGTCTGTGGATGTCCACGTGTAGAGATTTGAATGGCTGTCACTGCGACCAGTCATAAAGTAGAACACATCACTCCCCGTCTCTGCAACAGCAGTTCCAATTCCAAGAAAAAAAATTATTGTAAGAATTTGGGGGAGTTGTTTGTAAATTGGGAACAAAGGGGACAAAAAGGCCAAAGGATTCATTGAAAAATGTCCAGCCATGATTTCCGAAGAAACACACTTTAGGCTGATGAGCTGGATAAGTTAGCAGATTTTAGGTAATATTCTTCGTTCAGATGTTCAGACTCTCGACAGAATTAAAAGAGCACAGTACACTTTAATTTTTGGACCAGATAGATAGTCTTGAGAATAAATTATTGATATTTTTCATTCACTTGTTCACTTTTTTGGCTTTTTGCATTATGAAAATTTTAGCAGTCAGTGCTTAAGAGCTAGAAATTCCAAAACAAAAAATATTGACGTAACAGTAAAAATTAAAAAAAAGATTTTTGGCGATAAAGTTAAAGTAATGCACTGCGAATCAAGTTGTAAAGCCTCGTCAATAACATGTGATCTTTGAAAATTGTCAAAAACTTATATTGCTTTTGGTATTTTTAAAATCCAAACTAAGTAAAACGTCAAGTTAGAATGGCTTGAATAATTCGCGAGATCTAACGTAAAAGTTTTATTAATAGAATAAAAACACGAAACCATTGAAACTCAAATAAGTTACAACATGACTCTGATACGTTTGAACAGAAAAGGGTAAGCATTTTGTACCATTTCTAAAGATAGTTGTACCATTTTTTATCTAAGACAATAATAGCTGAGTTGGAAACAAGAATTTTCACGAAATAAAACAGCACCAAAATGGATCAACGCAAAAATTAGTAGCAAAATACCACGTTAAAGGTATGTATCCAAGTAAAAGCAATTATTTTTTTTTCTAAGTTCATAAAAACACCAAATTGCCTGATACTTTTTTCAAAAAAAGCATAGGAAGATACCTGTTGTTTAGCTTATTGAATACTGCTCAAGGAAACAGTTTTCATTTTGCACAAACACAGGAAAAGAATACTAAACCATATTATGCAGTGTACGTGTAAAAAAGCTGAAAAATAGTAACGCAAAAACAAATGAGGAAAAACCACATAAAATTTTAGCTTGAAATTAAGGATAGACCAAACGTGCTTAGAAAAAGCAATGAAAAAACTGCACTATTATACCAAATAGAATGGAAATGAATCTGAAGCTAAAATAATTTGGCTAAACAGTATGTTTGAATAATGAAATAAACACAAATTCAAGGAAACTAAGCTGCTCGCGACTGACTATCTTATATTTGGATTTCAACCTTAATTACACTTTTATAAAAATAAAACAACCATAAGAATTTTGAGATCTACCTATAGATCTTCACCCTTTCTTGAAAATTTTGTCGACCTTTTTTTTAGGTCGACCGAATCGAATTTTCGAGTTCTCCCTAAGCACGGTTTAGTCGCTGTTTTGGGCAAATTGTCTGTGCCGCAGGCAAAATTTTTAAAAAATAGTCCAAAAAAGGCGTTTTTAGGCACTTTTTGGAAAATGTTGACCAAAAATTTGCGTTTTTTCGGCAAGCGCTCCCCCCTCAAAATTAGTATATATTGGCGCCCGAGGCGCCTTCAGAAAAATTTTAGAGTCGGTCGGCCAAAAATGGATTTCTTGAAAGGTACCAAAGGGTGACCCTTTAGGTCGGCAGGAGGTCGAATCCGTGAGGGAGGGGGAAGCAAACGCCCCCCCTAAATCCGCCCCTGGTTAGAGGTACGCATTCACTAAATTGTTTCTGCACAGAATCGAAATCAAAAATAGCAGAAAATAAGTTTTAGCAGTACAGTCAAGCTTCGCTGAACAATTCGTGCACACATCAAATAAACTTTTTATTTTGTTTTTCAATTGATAAAAATCGATATACTGTAAGTACTGAGGTTTTTTCCAATACGTCTTAGATCTGCTATGTTCCTTTTCAATTTCACCGACATGGATTTATTTGCGATTTCTTCGAAACTTTTGAATACTCAATTCTGATAGGCTGAACAAGTTTTCTATGATTTGGTCTCTGTAGCATGAAAGACGCCACCACTAGAAAGCTCTATATTGCCCTCGTTAATTGTCCCAAGATGGCAAAATTAGCAATATTTAAACCCCCATAACTTTACGAAAAAAGATCACAGGTGAATTTTTTTTCAAATTTAAGCTCAGTACAACAATACCCTTTTGAATGATATAAAATATTCAGTCAAAAATGGCTAGTTCAAACCAAAGCCGAAGTGTATCCGAAAAAAAACCGCCCCGATCACAACTATTCTGTTACGAAATTTGGAACAAAAATACTTGGCGACGTCTAATTACGCTGGAATCATTTTATTCATTTCGTTCATGCTTGTCAACTTTTAATCAGTCAATTTTCCGCGATGAAAATAACAATTTTTGACAAACATTTTTTATACCCAATTGAAGATATTGACTTCTTGTAATCAAAAAATAAACAAAATTTAACCTCCAATCACTTTCTGCGAAGTTGTGAGAGTTTGAAAATTGCCCATTTGGCCAAGCTCTGGAATAAATTATGCGCGTTTTGAAGATTTTTTTAAAATAATGCTGAAAACGTAATGCGAATTATTTATGCGTGGTTAATTATACCGCACAACCAAAGCGATTCAAACAGAATTGAGGCTAGCTAATTTTTCGTATTAATTTCATACGATTCACATTTTTTTACTTGGTCTTTGATTTTGTCCCAATTTCATAATTTTGTGAAGATTTTCTTTTTATAAACACTTTTTGATAAAGACTAAGGCACAGTCGAAACCTTCAGAGCTTCAACCCTGATATACTACCTGCTATTATTTATCTGCCGTTTTATACAGCTTCACGCGGGGTGGCGAATTTGCAGTATTTGCTACACGCTAGAAAAACTGGAATTAATCCGAATTGGTGGAACTGTCATTTATTTAAAAAACAAGTAGAAGTAGTAGTGATAGTATAGGACTTCAACTATTCATATGAGAGTTTCAATTTCATAAACAAGAAAAAAAGGGAACAAAAAGAAATAAAGATAGCTCCTAGATAATTATTGAACACGTCAAATACTTTGGGCGTCGACACTTCAAGTATCAGATAGAAGTTCTGTGCAGGTTGTTTATGATTCCGGAGTGCTCCCGTTGAGAGATTCGTAATAAACGCTAGAAGTTTGATGACATATATACTATGTTGATAATAAATAGTTGCAAAAAATCATTGACACAAATCAAAAACACTGAAGAAAAAAAAACGACTTTGTCGATAGCTAGTGCCCAAACCGACGCTTTTGTCGAAGAATCTGGGTGCTCCGCTGTTTTAAGGCAAAATCAATCATCAAAGAGAATTCAATTGAGGCGGCCTAATACTATGGTGGTAAAAAGACGGATATCTTTCTTGATGGGCTGTTCAGAATGTGGCAAAGAAATCGAATATTTTAAGAGAGTACAAAAAGTTAACCGTCCAAATGCCACCTAAGCACATGGTAACTAAGCTATTCTATCTTTTGAAGCGAGCAGAGATGGGGAAACCAAGCTGGATGCTTATATAAAATTATAGAAAGAGCAGAAGGTTTGACGGAGTTTCAAGTTCGTGTTCACTTCGAGCCCAAGATCAACAGCAGTCCTTTCAACTCTATTTCACTGCTTCCGACAAACAACTTCAGGTCTTTACAAGCGTTCAAATTTTTGAAGAATTCCAACTCAGTTGATTATCAGACGCCCATAGCTTTAATGCATTTAAATCGTCTCGCAAGTTTCGATTTAAATCAGATACTGTTGCTAGTAAATTCGTATCATCGGCATAACAAACGCAGGTAGAAGAAAGCATGTCGTCAATAAAAATGAAGAATATAGGCGGTCTAGAGGAACTCCAACAGTAACAGAAAAAACATGGGACAGTGGTCCATCTACTTTCTTCCTCTGAGAACGATTCTTAAGATTAAAAAGACAGTAGTGATCAATAAAACCCCGTCTTTTCAACAAAAGTAATCACAACTAATGAAACTTTTTGATTCGCGACATCAATGATTTTAACTTCTATCAAAAACAATTAAGGTAAATCGAAAAAGTTGCTTAAAACCACTTCAAGCTTAAAAGCTCCATAATTCTGATCAAAAACCCGAATAAAAAGAATAAATAAAAAGAATGATCAAAACATTGTAATTTTTTCAAGGTTTGATTGTAAACATGCCATGAATACTATTGTAGCATGACTGAAAAAACCTACGATGTACAAATTGCGTGAAAATTACAAATAGACAAAACCTGAAATAAAATGTCAGCGTGGAAGTCAAAAGATAAAGTAAATAGTTTCTCAATCATTATTGGGCTAGAAAATTTAAACAAAAAAGCTGAAAAAAATTTTCTTTTTCCTAATTTTAAAATCAAATCGAAAAATTTAATGAGAACAAGCGTAATTTATAAGCAAAGCAAATCCATCATGGTACGGAAAACATTCGATTGATTTTATTGACCTGACACGATTAATCGTGTACTATCAAACATACACTGTGTTTACTTTGTCTATGCAGTCGATGCTAGTCAAAACTCAGTTTTTTTCAATTAATATGTGTTCACGCAAACAGATGTGAAAAATTACATATTTTTCCCTCCTTTTTTGCCTTGAAAAATGTTGCAGTCTGTATAAAACATTTGGTCGCTGTGATGTGTTTATTTTGTTTATGCTGTTTTCCTACTTGTCCTTATTACTCGTGCCTAAATTGTTCGATTCCCTTGAAACGCTGTACACCGGGAAAGAATGCGGATTTGGACAACGTGGAGAGATCCAAGATTGTTTCCTTGTTATCAGAAGGGCTAAACACGTTCGAGATTGCAAAGCGCTTACAATGAGACCAACGGAAAGCGTTTATTCAAGACAGCGAAAAAAAATTGGGAGTAACTTACTTAACTGAGAACACCTTTTCTGTATTTACGCGTTGTATCAGTTTGAAGCGTTTTTTCGATACGTCGACAAAAAATATTACGGGTTTTTCTGCAATTTGCTTAAGCAAATTAAACAGTTAGTTATAATCAGGCTTGAATAAACTGCTGAGTTGTTAATATATTTGTTTCTCTTTCTCTGGGTGATAACTTTATTCAAAATGTGTTCTGAATACAATGTTTGGGAAACTTGATGTTTGTTTTGTTTTGAGAATTGGTTAAAAAACATGGTTGCATAAACAAAGTAAACGCAGCGTAAGAAGGTAGAACAGAATACTCCTATATATTTCATTCAAAAAAAGTTCCAATTTCTTGGGATTTCACTTTTCCCACAGGCTCGGAACCGAAAATAATCGGACTCATAACAGATTGCCTCAATCATTTATCAGTCAGTCTGACTATGGGGAGAAATTAGGCTGCGACGAATTAGTATTGGAAAAGTTGACACATCTGAAGCTATAAAAACCTTATTCAGAGGTAATTATTGGAAAAAACTAAGCACTGGATTTAAACGCACAAGTACGTGAATTCGGTTTGAAAGAGTTTTTTTTATATATAAAACAAGCCAACTCCGATTCACTTGAGCAATTAACGCCAATTCAGTCATATCACAGATTCAAAAAATCTTCATTGGTCTTATTTAAAAATTATTCTTCCGACTTTCGTAACGAAAGTAACGGAATACTTGCGCTCGTGGTGGTTTTCTTGAGACAAATTTCGACTTTCAAAAAGTTTTGTTGTCCTGAGCTTTAATTCGAAGAGTGTTATCATCTGTGATCATTTCTGGCGAAGTTAGGGGGCTTTAAAGATTGTAGTTTTGACCAATAGGTGTACGCAAAACATCGCACTTTAATGATATCCAATTGGGCCAAAGTAGCAATTTTCAAACGACCGTAAATTTGAGGCACAGGCTAAATATATTTTTGAATTTGAGCTTAAGATAACAATATCACTCCGACGAGTAACAAAATCCGTTAAAAACGCTAAGTTATACAGGTCGATAAATGACTGAATAAAAAACCACACGAAGCATACTTATTCTGCACTTCTTCAAAAATCTATCACTTTGTGCTTAATATGCCACAAAAAGATCTCAAACTTAGAAAAAAAATCATTTTTATTATTTAATTTTTTCATGTTATTACTGCTCCATAGACCTTGAGAGGCAGCCAAAACATTCAGGGCTTTGCCCTGATACGAGGAGTTTTGTATCAATTCATTATGGCCTGAAAAATGACAAAAAACATTAAAAAAAAGAAAACGGGTAAAAGAATGGAAAACGTTTTTGTACGGACATGATTTGACAAAGAGCTGCATTTGGTAAATCAAAAAATACGGCGAAAAAAGCTCACAAAACTCCTTGAATAAAAAACTGAAAACAAAGTGCCTAAAACACCTTTTCTAGCCTTTTTGAAAAAATTGCCTGCAGCGCAGAGAATTCGGTCAAATTAGGGTCTTTATAGTGGTTTCTAAAAAGTCAGAAAATCAGTTTGGTCGAACTAAAAAAAAGTTTGTTTTTTGAAAATTCACCCCAGAGTGTTCGCCTCCTCGAAGAATTCCTAGATCCGCGCGTATTCATGCTAATTATCGAAATTGCCTAAAATAATTTCAGTATACACGGAAACTGAGCACAGAAAAATAAACACAAATTTCGAATAATAGAATCTTCCTTTTATAACCCAGTCTCCGTTTGACTGTGTATTTAGCGCCACTCCCATTCGTTAAAAAAGTTTTTATCTTGCTCTCAATAAAACAGATTCCAAAACTTTGTGTTTTAATTAGGAGAGGATTGAAACACTCATAACATTGAAAACTTGAACAGTTTGTTGTGAACACCTAAATTTGTGAACACCTAATTGAGTTTGAAGATAGTGCAATTGGTACTGATGAAAAAACTGAGTTCCTGCAGCAGCAAGTTCACAATACTCTGGATGCAATGTTGCTGCTGTCAAAAAGAAAGACAAAATAAAAAAAATCAGGATAACGAACAATATCAAAATTGCGAGTGTAAAAAACATAAATTACAAAAGCGTATCAAAATCAGTGTACTTTAGAGGCAGTGCAAAAACGAGACAGAAAACTGTTAAAGTCAAAAATTGCTAGCATATAACAAAAAAGATTTTTACAATGGCCTTATTTTTGAAAACACTGGACAACACAATAACAATTTTTTGATTCTGAGAAAGAAGTTAGGGCGATAACAAGAAAAAAAAGTTCGACTACCGAAGAAAATCCGATAGCTGCACAAGAAGTGAACGACGATTTCGTCACAATCGGTCCACAGTTGTCATCTGGATTTAAAACGGTAATTTTTCCAAATTTATTGCAAGTACAAACTTTTTCCTCCTGTGACAAATTGATGAACAGGAAGTTAATGACACAATAAAGCAATTGCCCAACAAAAAGTCCGAAGTTGACATGAGTCTGTCAATTTACCTAATCAAAAAAATTAACCCTATTATAACAGCTTATTTGACCATTGTTTTAAACCAGATAATAAGCGAAGCAGTTTATCCCAGTTGTATTAAAACAGCAAAAGTGGTTACTATTTTCAAAGAAAGAGACAACTCATTTCCATTATAGACCTATTTCTTTAGTTCCTGTTATGAGAAAAGTTTTCAAAAAACTATTATCGAAACGAATCATTCTTTTTTCCAATAAGTTTGACGTGTTAAATAATAAAAAGTTTGGATTCTGCAACAAACGCTCTACAATTGATGCTACTGTGCAAACTCTAGAGGTTCTTATTGAAAGCAAAAAACTGATAAATTGACGCACTGCACACTTTTAGATCTAAATAAAGCCTTCGAATGTTGATCATAACAACCTTATTTATCAGTGTCACTTGAAGGTCTCAGAGGCGTTCCTTTTAATTTACTGAAAACCTACCTCTGCAATAGAAACCAGTACGTCTTTTATTCGAACAATTGTTCAACAACAAGGAAGCTTCATTGCGAGGTACCTTAAGGTTCTGTACTGGGTCCCCTGCTTTTTCTTATTTATGTCAATGATCTTTCCAATATACCACAGCATAGTGAAACTATTCTTCATGCAGATGACGCTAATATTTTTTGAACAGTCAACGAAACTTAAGAACTTAAAACCCACTTGGAATTAATATCTGAATGGATGCAAAATATTAAACCTACAACAATCAAAGGAGAAACACAAATAATGATCAATAAAGGAATTTAAAAAATTGAAAGTTTTACCTGGAGCAAAACAGGATCGAACTAAAAAGTGCAGTTAAAAACCTGGGATTAATTTTGGATCAAAATGTTACCTTCAACCAACATATTGAATCAGTAAGAAAAAATGCAATCGATTCATATTCATTTTTTATCAAACAAGACTGTTTCTCAGCTCATCAGTTCTCATTATAGTTTACAAGAAGTTTATACAACCAACATATCAACATGGTGTATTAGTATACGGAGCTGCCAATAAAACCGCTTCAAAAAACTTGCAAGCACAAATTTTTTTTTTCAAATTCGAATTGCGTTTCGTCTCAAAAAAAAACAAGAAGTAAGGGCTATAAGAAAAACGCATACAATTTGCTCAATCGAGGAATTACACGTATACGAACTGTTGAAATTAGTCTCTTAAGTAAAAAGACGAGAACATGAAAATGACAACGTGAACAATTTCATTTTAAAATAAGAATTAGATAAATCACTCGATACCACTAGAAAAATAAAATCACTAGCCATAAAAAAAAATAACCCGAAATAACAAAAAGTTAATATCTGTGCGAATACGGACAGTATATAATTCTCTAATTAATTAAAGAAAATCATTAAAGAAATTTTAATCGAGCCTAACCAGTCTATAGACAACCTTATGCAGAAAATCAGAGATAACTATTTAATTGATTGCGACTACTTCGACAAATTTTTTTGGTAAAAACGTTTCGAGTAGTTTTTTTTATTAACTCAACTTTAAAGCGAACACCCAAAAAAGCGAACATCCCGCTTATCAAAATAAAGCAAATAATACAAAATATAAATTTCAAGTCTGAAATTTGTCTTTTTTTACTTTTTTTTTGCTGGTAAATTTTACTGTAAAAATATTTCAATTAGATGCAAAATAAAGGAACTGAAAGATTTTGAACTTTATTTTTTTCTTTAAATCTATTATACATTTTTTTCAGTATAAATGTTACTTAGGTTAAGCAATCAGGTCCATATAAGACAGTACTTAAGAGAAAGTTCTATGCGGCGCTTCAACAGATTGGATTAACTTCTGCGCTTGCTCAAGTTGGTGCACTATCAATAATAAGTTCTCTATATTGTTGGACTATTGCACTACTTGAAGCAAGCTGATTATGATTATGATTATTATAATTTGAAACTCAAAAAATTGAAATAAGAGAATTTAATGCAAGTATGATGAAGACAAGATCCACTAGCTTGAGTTATGTGATACGCGCCATTCAGTCTAAACGCGGATTCGAATAGTTTGAAACCCTCTTTAGTCTCGAGAATAACGTCCAAAATTAAAAACGAGAACTAAAAATGGAATTTAGGTTAAAAAAAACAAAAAAAGCACGACACGTTTTTGAGCCAAAATTTAGGCGAATAATTCGAATCAACGTTTTTTGCTCTTAAAATCAAGAATTCCAAAACTTCTTTTTGCGAAGACCAAGGGTGAACTTTACCTATGCATTTTGAGTCAGCGATAGAATGTTCCTCCCTTATAAAGCCCCGAGAGCAAATGCAGACAATTTTACTATCTTCAACATCAACACACATTCCACCAGTTCCACAATCTTTGTTCACGCATGAGGACTCATCGGTCACGTGTTCGGAGGTGTCGATAGAAAGAAGCAACGATTGGTACGAGCGCATGATTGGCATTTTGGAGACTGGAGTATCTTGCGTCATTACATTATTCGTATCTACGTAGAGTAAGTCTCCGGATGAGGGCGCGAAAGCAATTCCAGTCATCTGATTTTGTTCAGACTTAGTGACAAATGGATGTTGTGACATTGAGTTCAGTTGTCGGTCATTGTAGGTCAACTTTGTCACCTAAAGCATCGCAAACACGCAGTTAGAAAGACTTTTTCAGCTCAAAAAAACATTGATTCTGAACTCATTTTTTGAACTCGAAAAATAAGTTTGTGAACGAGGAAAACTAAAACAAATATCTAATTTAGATTTCAAGTTTTCATAGATAGTTTGGTTACACATCATGATATATTACAAATGCGAACAATATGAGCAAATTGAAAATTCATCTGTTTGAACACATCATTGAAGCAATTTTTGCCTGAACCAATAACCTATCTTCACGACTTGAGTCACTGGCGCAATCAGGGGCGGATCTAGGATTTTCAAGAGGGGGAATTTTCAAAATATTTTGAAACATTGTTGATCGGGATAAATCGCCACGCATAAATAATTCGCGTTACGGTTTCAGGATTATGAATTAGTCCAGCGCATGGCCACATTGGCAAATTTTAAACTAACAGAACTATGCAGAAAACGATCGCAGATAAAATATCGTTTTATATTGGATTTCAGGAAATCAATATCTTCAATGCGGTATAAAATTTTTTCGTCAAAAACAATTCGATTGCCGAATAAGTGACTGATTACAAAAATTCACCCCAAGCATAAAAATTCCGTTATCTTTGAAAGTCGGAACAAAAAAAACATATCGAATAATGTGAGGGTGTATGAAAGAAAGGCTAGTAGATAAAATGGCATAAACTCGAGCTAGCACTCAAAGACAGTTACATTTAACTACCTTTAACTTTCCTCTGTTAAAGAATGGAACAAGACTGCTCGTATATCAGGACGAAGCCCTGATTGGTCCGCCTGCACTTTAAGACCAACTAAAAAACACTTTGATTACAAACTGACAAATAATGAAACAAGACAGCTAGCATATCAGGGCAAAACCCTGAATGTTCCGACTGCACTCAAGACCAACTGAAAAGTTTTTTTGGTTGTATAATTGATAAAATCATTGAGAAAAAAAATTTATTTTTCATTTTTTTTCCATTTTATCCCCCCACACGCTTTGTAAGTTGCTTTTAGCGTCCTGTATTGTGACAAAATTAAACTGTTGGCCTCAATTCAATTTAGAACGCAACAAGACTGCTCGTATCAGGGCGAAGCCTTGAATGTTCCGACTGCCTTTTAAGTTCTATGGAGCAGTAATAACGTGAAAAAATTAAATGAAAAAAAAATAAAATGATTTTTTTTTCACAAAATTGGATTTTTTTAAATGAAAACCATCCCCCACACGCCATATAAAGTACAAAAGAAAAAATTTCGCTCCTTGTAACAATCTAATTATGGCAAATAGGGTTCTTTCAACCAAATTGGAACGATTTCTAAGACGGAGTAAATCTCCGCTTTTGCGTTAATAGCGCGAAGAATATCGCGCGTTAATTGTCCCACTCTGGCCAAAATGGCAATCTTTAAACCCCCATAACTTTACAAAAAATGATCACAGGTGAAATATTTGTTTTTCAAATCTAAGCTCAGGACAACAATACCTTTTGAATGATATAAAAATTCCATCAAAAACGGCTAGGTAAAAAGTCAAAATTTGTCTGTAGAAAAAACAAATACCCCGAGCAGAAATATTCCGTTACTTTCGTATCGAAAGTCTGAACATTAAATTATTTTGCGTCTAGTAACGTATTGTAAAGACCAAACCAATCGGTTCGATTCAATTTGTACTGATTTCTCAGCCGGAGTATATTCCCACTTTGAGGTTCAGATAACTCAATACAGCACGTCAACATAAGAAGTTTACCAACTAACATGCCTGATTTTATAGAGCAGTCTATGGAGCAGTAATAACAAGAAAAAATAAAATGAAATGAAAATAAAATGATATTTTTTTTAATATGAGACTTTTTTTGTAAAAATTATCCCCCACACGCCATATTAAGTACAAAATGAAACCTTTCGCTCCTAGTAACAAATCAATTATGGCAAATCAGCTTCTTCTAACCAATTTGGAACGATTTCTAAGACGGAATAAATCTCCGCTCACGCGTTAATAGCGTGAAATTTATCGCGCGTTAATTGTCCCAAATTGGCCTAAAAGACAATATTTAAGTCCCCATAATTTAACAAAAAATGATCACAGGAGAAAAATTTGTTTTTCAAATTTAAGCTCAGGACAACAATACCTTTTAAATGATATAAAAATTCCGTCAAAAACGGCTAAGTACAAAGTCGAAAACTGTCTGTAGAAAAAACAAATACCACGAGCACAAATATTCCGTTACTTTCGTATCAAAAGTCGGAACAATAAATTATTTTTCGTCTAGTAACGTATTGTTAAGACCAAACCAATCGCTTTGATTCAATTTTTACTGATTTCTCAGCCGGAGTTTATTCCCATTTTGAGGTTCAGAAAACTCAATACAGCACGTCAATTATATCAAATTATCAGAATTCATAATTTTTGAAGCCCCAATATATTTTTTAAACGAACGCAGGTGACACTTTTTTTAATACATAGCTTAAACTAAATTAGAACATTAGACAAAACTGCTTGTTTTAAAAAGTCAAAACTTGTCTAAAGAAAACAGTCTTCCACATACAGTCTTCCAGTTTTTTCAACAAAAGGAAGAACACTACTGCTTAGCAGAATAAAGCGTGTTTGATGTTGTTATTTTCGCACAGAAAAATGAAATTACCAAAAAATTAAAAATATCTTTTTTTTTTGTGGAAACCTGACTGATTTCTGAGCCTGATTATTTCACCGCCATGTTTTTGCGTTGATAGAAAATCGTAAATTCAGCAACCCATAATTATTCTGAATTGGCAATTTTCGAGCCTTTTTATTTTTATGAAATCATAAGGTGCGACACATATTTTAAAATAACTATCTTTAAATAGCTCGACCCCAATTTTTATTAGTCTCGAGCTCTGGCAGCATACTTACTATCACTTTTGATGGAACTAGCAGGAAGCTTCCGTCCTTCATTTGAAAATTAGTGCAGCGCAGTGAGGTTGGGCCAATTAGCATTCAACTGGCTCAACATAATTTCTTTTCATTTTTCGAAACCATATTATTCAGCGGCATTATGTCAACGAAGTGAGAAAAAAAACTGAAAATTTTTAATTCAACTTCACTGCTTTTCGAATACAGTATCATTTATTTTTGTCAATACCTCAATTTTTTTCGAATTGAACGAATACAAAAAAAACCCAATATTTCTTTAAAAAATGATCAAAGGTGACATTTAGATTATTATATAGCTCAAAGAGTACATGTGTACGCAAAAGATTGCACTTTAATTATATCAAATTGGGCCAAATTAGCAATTTTCAAACGCCCGTAAATTTACGAAAAATGAGCACAGGTGAAATATATTTTTGAATTTGAGCTTAAGATATCAATATCTCTCCGACGGTTGAAAAAACCCGTCAAAAACGCTTAGTTATCAGTTCGATAATTGACTGAATAAAAAACCACACGAAGCATATTTTTTCCGCACTTCTTCAAAAGTCATAACAAAAAAAATAACTTTTTTGTTTCAACTGTCGTAACGAAAGTAACGGAATAATGTTGTCGAGGTAGTTTCTTTACTTCAGATACAATTAAACTTTTTAAAAGGCCGTTTTTGACTTTTTTGTGTCATTCAAAAGGTAATGTTGTCCTGAGCTGAAAATGGAAAAGTTATTTCACCTTTGATCAGTTTTCGTAAAAATATGGGGGTTGAAAGATAGCCATTTTGGCCAATTTGGGACAATTAACGCGCGATATATTGTTTTTACTCGAATTTGTTACTCGAATTTTTTCATGTTATTATTGCCCCATAGATCTTAAAGGCAGTCGGAACATTCAGAGCTCCAACCTGATACAAGCAGTCGTCTTTCAATTATTTTTCAAATTATCATTCACACGTTAATGCAAACTACAAAAGGATGCATTTAGCGCCTCGCATCCTTGTGGCAAAACCAAATGACTTGCCTCAATTCAATGACTTACGAGTAACATAAGAACGCAATTATATCCCGTTAATTGTCCCAAATTAGCAGTTTTCAAACGACTATAGTTTTCATCACAGGTAAAACAAACTTTGTCTGAAGGTAATTTAAAAAATCCGCCAAGATCTTTAAGTTAAAAACTTGAAAAATGACTGAATAAAAAACCACCCAAGCATAAATATTCTGCTTTTTTCTAATTAACCGGAACAAAAAATCCCGAATAGCAAGAAGTTTGCGGAGAATTGTAATGACCTTGAACAACCTCAGCAAAACATCAACAAGTTCACGCTGTATAGATAAGTGGTGATAGTTTGGTTTTGGCTGAGTAATTTGGGCTGATCTTATACCCATTATAGCCATCCAGTATATTATAGCCCCCTTAAATGAACAAGATAAAACAAATCAATCAGCACAAGGAAATTACTTGAGCATGTTTGCTTACCTGAAAATAAGTTAACAAACAAAAAAATGCAATTTTGTACGAATGCTTTCTATAAATCAGAACAACAACCTTATTTCAAGTGAAAGTTTTTAATAGGAAAAAGACCCCATAGTGAAAGTGGATCGGGGTTGCCGCAATTTACTTTTTAGGCTATTGAGACAGCTGTGTTTTGGTCAATTGCATAATTAAGTGTTTTGCTTTTTGTTCCGACGAAAGTAACGAAAGTAACGGAAAATTTGTGCTCGGGGTGGGTTTTTTTCTTCAGACAAATTTCGATTTTTTACCTAGCCGTTCTTGACGGAATTTTTATGCATCATTCAAAAGTTATTATTGTCCTGAGCTTAAATTTGAACAGATATTTTACCTGTGATCATTTTTTTTGTAAAGTTATGGGGGTTTAAGGTTTGCCATTTTGGCCAATTTGGGACAATTAACGAGCAATATACTTCGCACTATTAACGCATCAACCCTTCTTAGAAATCGTGCCAAATTGGTTGAAGGAAGCTTATTTGCCTTAATTGATTTGTTAACAGGAGCAAAATTTATCACTTTGTATTTTAAATGGCGTGCGGGGGATGAATTTACAAAAAATCTCAGTTTTTTTTTGAAAAAAAAATTTTATTTG